AAAATCAGAGCTTTAATTTGTTTTATAGCATCGGTCTCCACTTTGTCTTGTGATGAAAGATGAAAACTGCTGCTTACCATGTTTTTGTCTTAGCCTCAAAGGTATGGTTTAGTTTGTGAAACATGGGCCTAATGTCAGTCTGCCACAGACCTCTGTACTGAACATCTGTGTACTAGGCACTGAAAGATGCAAAGATGGATGAGGATTGGTCCTTGCCCTCAAAGGATTTGAAATCTAGCTAGGAAGATAGAACAGTCACAAGAAAGTTAAGTAACAAAACATGATTAAAAGCCAGATGAAAAATAGGGACAAAAGTCACAGTGGAGAATTTTCTGATTTGTGAATTACATCTCAGTAAAATCAAGAAGAGAGAAATGGCACCATGGCACGGGGTGGTCTGAAAAGGAGCTGGTTATAAATGGCCAGGATTTCAGTGAGTGGAGAGGAAGGGCGAAGACAGGAGAAGATCGTGAGGAGTTAAGAAAGCCAATTGGAGAAGATGATTCATATGGGAGATAAGAATCACAGGAAGAGAAGCCAGATAGTGGGGGTTCTTGAGTGCCTGCACAGGAAGGCTAGATTTCATCCTGTGAGTCTTGGGAGAAGGGAAAGACAAGAGCCTGGCATCCAGCTCTAGGCTAACATGTTGGTCCCTCTCCTCTCCCCGCCCCCAGGTGGTTTGTAAGAAGTACAGGGGATTCTCCATCCCGGAGGGGTTCCGCGGAGTGCATCGGTACTTGCGCAATGCCTATGCTCAGGAAGAGTTTGCCTCCACCTGTCCAGATGATGAGGAGATCGAGCTGGCTTACGAGCAAGTGGCCAAGGCCCTCAAATAAGTGGCTCCTGAGACTTCGTCTCCCCTCTCCATTTTCTCCACAAAGGCACCAACTGGTTTCCACGTGGCTATCCAAGGGACACACTCCAAAATGGCCAGTGGGCAGAGAATCCTGGAGCACTTGTGCAGGGCTGGCTGGGGGGCTGAGGGGAAAAATGGGGAATCTAGGTAAGATTTTTATTGTGGGGTGGTGCGGGTAGGACAATGTATTTCAGTAATAAAATACAGAATGAAAATACAGTGTCGTTTTACACAAAGAGGACTTGAATGTGGGTAACATGGAATGAGAAGTGGGTCAGTGACCTTGAGCTCAGGGCAGAAGCCAGGAATTTAGAAGAGGGGTATTTGTGGTCAGGCTTCCATTTTTCGTGCCGCTCCACCATAACGCTGTCTTGTGGTCCATGTCGCATTTGCAGCCCAGCCGCCGGGGCCAGCCAGATCTGGGTGGGCCTGGGCAGCACTCACGGGGCGGGGCCGAGTTCTGAGGAGGGGAACGCAGTCCCCGTGGAGTGGGCGCGGCGTAGCAGGGCGGAATGGGCGTGGTCTCGAGGAGCCCCGCCCCGTCCCGCTTAGACAATGCCCCGAAGCCGCCAGACCATCGCGACCCCGCCCCACCGTAGTTCTTGAGCTCGCCTATCCAGGGACCCCTCAAAAGCCAAGAGCTCCAGTCCCCGAGGCTTGAAGACTAGGACTCCCTTCTCCAACCAACTCTGTCCTCAGGGGGGTGGGGCCCGAGCCAAGATCACAGAGCGCAGGAGTCGGGGTGGCCGCTGGAGGTAAGTCTAGCGGTTGGAGATGTCCCCTGGACCGTGTGCGGGCCGGAGCTTGAGGGTGCCGGGCCGGTGCCTGCAACGGACAGAGTGCAGGAGGCGGAATTTTGGGTGCGGACCTGAGTGAGGTAGACTTTGGGGAAGATGGACCGGGAGACAGGGTCCTGGAGCCGGGAGTGGCGCCCGCTCCCTGGGACCACGCCCCCGGTTTCCCCGCCCCTTGGATTTCGTTTTAGACCTCTCCCAGTCCTCCGGGACTCGGTCTGGTTTATACTGGGTCGCGCTAGGGGCAGCACGACCGGCCCGGGTGGAGAGATGATATTTAACTCCTTAGGTTCTAATTCCTCCTTCGTTGCCCCTCTTCCTCTTTCTCGTTTGGGCATTCAGGATTTCATCTTCCTAGGCCCTGACCTTCTCCCCAGCTGTCTCCTGTCCCATAACCCCTTTGGGTCCCTCGCCGCACTTCGGGTCCCTATGGCAGCGAGCAGCTGAGGGTTAAGGGGGCGGGGCCGTTGCATTTTTGGGGAGTGAGCGCATCCTAGCGGCTGCCAAGAGGGGCGCCTAGCAGGGACCTCGCGAAGCCCCCGAACAGGGGCAACAGGTGTTTTGAAGATTAGGGGTCCCGGTCTTGTTCCTCGGACTCCCTCCAAAGAAGCAGACCCAGAAGGGTGCGGGGTGGAATGGGGTGGGCAGGAGAGAAAGGTCTGGAGGGGGTGGGGCGAAGTGGGAGGGGCGCCCGGAGATGGCAGAAGGAAGACCCGGGCGCTCCTTACCACCCCCCTACGCCCTTCTGTGCGTGTCTCTTTCTCTGCCTCCCCACCCCCGCTTTCTGTCTCTTCTCCCAGACAGGTGAAAAAGAGAAAACTAAGAAATCAGCGCGGCCAGAGGGGGAGACTGTGTGGATGGGATGGGGACGCCAGGGGAGGGGCTGGGCCGCTGCTCCCACGCCCTGATCCGGGGGGTCCCAGAGAGCCTGGCTTCGGGGGAGGGTGCGGGGGCTGGCCTCCCGGCTCTGGACCTGGCTAAAGCCCAGAGGGAGCACGGGGTACTGGGGGGTAAACTGAGGCAGCGATTGGGGCTGCAGCTGCTAGAACTGCCTCCTGAAGAGTCGCTGCCGCTGGGACCGCTGCTCGGTGACACCGCCGTGATCCAAGGGGACACGGCCCTAATTACGCGTCCCTGGAGCCCCTCCCGCAGGCCGGAGGTGAGCGCCGGGGCGCGGGTTGGGAGGTAAGGGGAAAGGAGGAGCTGGACGTGCGGAGCTTTAAGAATTGTGGGTGGGAATGTCTGTGCCCCGCGCCCTCTTTCCTGCCCTAAGGTCGATGGAGTCCGCAGAGCCCTTCAGGACCTTGGGCTCCGGATCGTGGAGATGGGGGATGAGAACGCGACGTTGGATGGCACTGATGTTCTCTTTACCGGTGAGGCTGAGGTGCCTGCATCCCTGGGGCTTGGCATTGGGAAGCAGAGTTGGGGAGACTAGGCCATGTCGGGCCTTGTTTCCAACTCACTCTGGCTCTCAAACCTCCGCGGCCTCCCTGGGCTCAGGCCGGGAGTTTTTCGTAGGCCTCTCCAAGTGGACCAATCACCGAGGAGCTGAGATCGTGGCGGACACGTTCCGGGTGAGGAGCGGGACCAGCTTTGTGCTGGGGAAGCGGGGAGCGGATGGGGTAGGAGGGGCGCAGGGAGGCGGCGCGGAGTAGGGAGGAGCCCAGAGCCACCTGTGTTTGGGGGAATACCCTCACCCCTCCCGCGTCCCTGAATAATTTCCCTTGTTGCCCCTAGGACTTCGCCGTTTCCACAGTGCCGGTCTCGGGCCCCTCGCACCTGCGCGGCCTCTGCGGCATGGGGGGACCCCGCACTGTCGTGGCCGGTAGCAGCGACGCTGCCCAAAAGGCTGTCAGGGTGAGGAGGGGCGGGATGGGGTGGGGCAGGTTGGGGCGCGGCCAGCAAAAGTGGGCTTGGCTCCTGGCCGGGGAGGCAGAAAGCTGGGAGGTTCAGAGACTTAATTCCAACCCCTGCCCTCATGGAGCCGTTCATCTAGTATGAAAACACGTCAGAAAGCAAGAAGTTACTATAGCAGGACAGGGACAGGGAACACAGTCGATTAACATCGTCTTCCCGAGTTTCCGGGAACCTCCCCAAAGGTGGCATCTAAGCTATGACGAAGGATGGATGACATTGACTGGTGGGGGGCTAGAGAAAGGAAGAAGAGGGTTGCAGGTAGTAAGAACTGCATGTGTGTCCGAAGTGGAACTTAACAAAGGTCACTAAAATGCTTAGATCAGTGCCTGACACATACTAAGAGCAAGTGCTCGCTATCATTATTATACAACAAATGTAACTGTGTCCTCAGCCCTTAATGGTGGTAGGGCCATCACACTCGGTTGTGGAGAGGCTCTGAGACTTGACCACTTCCTCTTTCCTCTCCCTCAGGCGATGGCAGTGTTGACAGACCACCCCTACGCGTCCCTGACCCTCCCAGATGATGCAGCTGCTGACTGTCTCTTTTTGCGACCTGGGCTGCCTAGTGTGCTCCCTTTTCTCCTGCACCGTGGAGGCGGGGACCTGCCCAATAGCCAGGAGGTGAGGGAAGGCAGGAGCTCCACCACCAACAATAACCAGAGGAAGGAGTCTCAGGCCTTCCTAGTGGGACGAAGAAGGGGTACCTTCTCTAGAAGCGTGGGTGGTGCCACTCTGAGCTGGCTCCAAGAAGGGCCTGGCTGTGGCCTTGGGGTCTTACTCCCCTCTCCCCACTTTGTGTCCTCCCTGCAGGCACTGCAGAAGCTCTCTGATGTCACCCTGGTACCTGTGTCCTGCTCAGAACTGGAGAAGGCAGGCGCTGGGCTCAGCTCCCTCTGCCTGGTGCTCACCACGCGCCCCCACAGCTGAGGGCCTGGCCTTAGGGTTCTGGCTGGCCAGGGGTAGGGCAGCATAGGGAGTAGAAGGGGATGGAGGCTTAGATAGAAGACGGTGAATAGGTAGTAGTGGGGAGAGGGCCCCAAGATGGGGGGGTGGGGGCTTAGTGTGGGAAAAAGGATAGAGTCCACTGGGTGAGTCCTCTTCCTCAGAACTAATAAAACAGAACTGACCTTTTAGACTGGGCTGTGGCTGGTGTCTTACTGGGATAGGGACAGGGCTGAAATCTGAGGTTGAGGTTAGTTAGTCTCTCATTCATCAAACCCTCATTAGGCACTTACTGACTCAGTGCCCAGCCCTATCATAGGTGTTTGGGCACAAGATGGATAGGATAGTATTTCTATTGTGGGGAGCATATATGAGGTAGAGAAGAAAGTCTAGGGTGGATCACTCAATTTATCTAAATGTCAGATGATTCAGAGACTGGTAGATTATCAACCCACCCCAAGTTGATAGAGAGGAAGAAGTGACGCTTTCATTTTCATTCACTCATTTACTGAGGCTTAGCAGTAATGTAAAAAGGGTCAGTCTTCTGAGAGCAGGGAACTCACAGTACATTGAAATTGAAATACAGGTTGTGATGGAACAATTCACAGGGTGTTGTTGCTAAGAGATAAATAAGGAGACTGCCTACAGCATCAAAATGTCTGCAGGGGTAGGCAGAGAGGGTCAGGAATGGCTTCCCAGAAACAGCAACATTTCAACTGAGTCTTGGGGATAAAGAAGAATTAGCCAGGAAGGTAGTGGGGAGGAGGAAAAAAGGTCCAGGAAGAAGGACTTGTGTGGCGCGAAGCCATATTTGGAGGCTGGGGAGAACCTCTACCAGGTTGGCATGCTGTGCGCTTGTGGAGTGACAGAGACAAGCCTGGAGGGTAGGCAGAGTGCTGCCAGCACCTTGTACCCAAAGCCAAGACCCATGGGTCCAGAGCTGAAAGTTATGGAAAGAAATCCTGCAACTCTGGAATACAGGTTGTGAGAAGGTTTGCATTTGGGGAGAACCTCTCTGGCTTCAGGGAAGAGGGCAGGGGCAAGAGGATGAGGTGGGGCTATGAGTCACCCAGGGAGGAAATGAGGAGAGTATATTCAGGTGGCAGCCCTGGGCGTGAAGAAGGGTATGGATTTCACAGTGACATTAAAATAGAAAGACAGGACTTGGTTCATTGTGTGGGAGTGAGCAGAAGGAGGTCTGCATGACTCCCAGTTTCTGGCTTAGGCAACTGGTTGATCAAGAGAGAATGCAGAGGAGGATTGAGTGAGTGACAATGAGTTGGGTTTTAGATATGCTGGGTGCAGAATGCCTACAGCCAGCCAGGCAGGGATGTCCCAGGGATAGATGGGAAATCCCATTACTCGAGATCTGAGCTGGAGAGAGCTCTAGGTGTTGTTTGCAGAGGTGAGGGCTGAGGACTGGCTGTGGATGACAGATTCCCAGAAGAGAGGGAAGTCAGATAAAGGGACGAACCTAGAATGGTGGGGAATACCATGGGGATAGGGAGCAAGGAAGAGGAGTCCAAAAGGAAGACACCAGCATAAAGAAAGGAAGTAATCAAAGACCAAGCTAAAAACTCTACTGGGTGTGGCCTTTAGGACCTCACTGGCAACCTCATGGAGAGATGATGAGCAGGAGGAGTGGAGTGAAGGAAAAGACAAGGTGTAGGCCCCTGATTCAAAGAGCTGGACTGTGGAGGGAACCAAGAGACAGGACAACTATCTAGGACTTGTTGATGTCTTAAGATAGGGAGGCAGGGCTTGATCAGGTTTAGAGAGGGCACCAGTGGTGAAGAAGACATGAAAGTTACAGGAGGGAGGGTAACTGAAGGAGCACGGTCAGTCGCAGAGAACCCGGGGCTCCTGACTCTCACACTAGTGCTCATTTCTATCCCGTGGTGCATTCCTTTGCCAGGTGAGGGGCCAAGAAGGGGTGGGGAGTTGTGGAGAGCTGGGAACCTCCAGCTTGTGAGGTTTGGGATAAGGGCTTCCCTTCAAACTACAACCGCATAGATGGTGGAGGCATCAGCCGGGACCACTGGGGACAACCGGAGGGGCCTTCTGAAGGCCAGATGATCCAGGTCTGCGTAGAGAAGGCTCTGAAAGGTGGGGAGGAAGGCAGGAGGGTCTCAGAAGTCAGACTTGCTGGGGAATTCAGGCCTCTGTCTTTCTTGGTCCACTTTTCTTGGGGATTCTGTCCAACCCCCTTCCAATCCCCAGGCTTACCGCCTCCTGGTCCAGTTCCCCTGCATTCTTAGGCTCCTCCTCCTTTACTGGCCTCTGGGGGTTGACTTTCACGAGTGGATCTATATGGGGGGAACAGAGCTGAAGGATTGAGAGAAAGTGACCAACACTCTGCTCCCAGCAAGGAAGGGCTCAGACTCAGGAATTGAGAGGTGGGAAGTGTGGGAGCAGTAGAAGGAAAACGGGGTGGAGTTAGTCTCACCAAATCTGGGGAGTGGTCGAGGCGGGTGCGGGGGTGATCGTCTGTAACGGATGTATAAGTCTGAGAGCCACCAATTTTGTCTCTCGTCTTCCTCCGGACCAACAGCAACCCAGCAACTCGAAGGCTCAGACCCGCAAAACAATTTAGGCTCCACCCCCACAGATAGTTCCGCCCACACTCTGATCCTGCTCGGGCTCTAGCTTCGCCTCCCTGGCCAGGGCTCTGCCTACCAACCTGCGGCCTCGGCCCAAGTGGTCACCTCCCCCCTTCCTCTCTAAACCACACGCCGGAGCTCTAGGTCTAGCTTCTGTCTGCCAAGTTCTGGTCCTGCCCCTCCCGCCTCTTGTCACGACCCGTTTAACCAGGCCCCGCCCATTGTGCTCACCTGTGCCACCACCAGACCACGCCCAACGCCCCGAGTCCCAGCACTAGCCCAGCGCCCAGCAGGGGGATGAGGAGCTGCGGATTCACCGACCCTGGGGGAACGGAGGACGGGGGGGGGGGGGGGGGGGGGTGGATACTGAGGTTAGGGGTGCGAGGACAGAGCACTAGCTCTCCCGCCCAGGAACCCCGCAGCTAAGGCCTCTCTCCCTCCCGAGGGTGTGTGTCCAAGTCCCGCGCACAAAAGCCTGGACCTACCGTGGGTAGGCCCCGGTGCCCTGCAATCAGCCCCGTCCCCTAGCACGTGAAGCACCGTACGGCTTTCTTCCTCGTGGCGGCCCCTGCAGAAAAAGGTGCCTGAGTCCCCCGCGCTCAAGAGGAGCTCCAGCCGCCGGATACTAGGGTCCAGGGCACGTAGGCGACCAGCAAAGGGCTGGACTGGAGACACAGTGGGGGTCCCGCTCGATGAGGCCCACAGGATGGGGCGGCGTCCCTTGGACAAGCCCTTGCAGGCCGGGAAGCTAGGCGCCCAGGCCCAGCGGATGGGATGCGAGACCCCTACACAGGAGAAATTCACCGAGTCTCCAGGGCGGCCGTCCAGTGAAGCTGGGGTTGGAGGGGACAGAGGTTAGGGCAAGTCCACAGGGCAAGACGAACCCCACTCCCGTCTCCTCTCCCTCACCTCTCCTCTGTGCCCCCGCCAACCTGGATCATCCCACAAACATTAACCCTCCTCTCCCCATCGCTCCCCCCTCCCTCAGTCTTTCCTCGAGCCCATCCCAACTTTCGGGGGGGGGGGGAGAGATGGCTTACCCCCGGGGTCCCCCTGGGCCCTAGACAGCAGCAACGGCAGCAGCTGCAGAACCAGAGCCATGGCTGGGATGTGGTGGGGGATAGGAGGCGAGTGTATCAGCGGAGGAAACCGGAGGGAAACGGGGGAGGGAATTGGGGGGGCCGCGGGTTGGGGGCTCCGATAAGGGCGGGGCGGGGCAACCAGCCACCGGGATCCCTCTGGGAGTCCTCGCTGGCTCGCTCACAGCCCTCAAACAATACTCAGTTGAAAGTGGTGCTCGGTCTGGTTACAGAAGCACTTTCGTACTTTAACTCCTGCCGGGTAGCAGTGCCCCCCCGCGCCCCCCCCCCCCCCGACCATCCTGGTTGAGTTCAAATCCTGCCTTGACCCTCTACTAGCTGAGTGATGTGGGCCAGTCGTTTAACTTCTCTGGGCCTGTTCGTTCATCTGTAAAACAGGGACAAAAGCACCTACCTTCTAGAGTATTGAGAAATAAAAAAGTTATACACCTAAAACGCCTAGAACAATGGCTGACACATAGGAGCACTTGGTGCTCACCATTATTAGTATTATTGCAACTTCTATTCTTATTCTAGCTTCTACTCCACCTCTCTGTGCCCAGGCTGTCCCTCCTGGCCAATGGCGCACCACTCAAACTGGCAGGTTTTGATTTGGGAGACACTTTGGAGCAGGCCACATGCCCCATACCCTGGACTTCATTGGCCCCCGCTGAACCAGAGCAAGCCAGGCTAGGCCAAGCCCTAGTTTAGCCAGGGCAGGTTCCGAGAACCATCTAAGGGCCTGAGACATCACCTCAGCAGGCAGCCCCAGCCTATGCCTCTGCTGTTGTGACATCACAGAAGCCCTTGGTGACATCACAAACCCTTCATCCTTCATCCTGTGGCTGAGCGCGGGTTGGGAAGACCACGTCAAGGCTGAATCCAGATGAAGCTGGCCCCTTCCGTCCTCAGTTTCTGCTCACATTCCCCTACCAGTGCCCCCCAGGGACTCAAATTGGGCAATGAGTGTAGGCCACACCCCCTTGTCCATTTCCCAGGAACCACAGCCCCTGTAACATCACAGGGGCCTTGGCGATGTCTTTTCAGAGGACTGGGCAGCAGGGCTGTCAGCTGGGAACAAGGAGGGGTGTCTTGGCCTGAAACCAAGAACCAAAATGGAGTTGGCCACAAGTGTACCTACCTTCCACTACCTCTCTCTCCCATCCCTACTCCCTGACCCAGCTCTGCTTAGTCCCTCCCCACCCCTGGTCATCTGGGTGTAAATGGGGAGGGAGGGGCCACCAGAGGCAGGGAAGGGAGGGACCGTTGGGATTATAAATTCCAAAAAGGCCACTCGACTCCCAGAGCTGGATCCCTGAAAATCTACTCTATCAGCTGCTGCACTTGCTACCATCCTCTGGACCCTCATCATGAAAGGCCTTCTGCTGGTCACCCTGTCGGCTCTGCTCTGCTGGGTCTCAGGTGAGCACAGGGGGCGCCCCGGGGCTTCTACACCTTATCCCACCCACTGCTCTCCATTGCCCACTGCTTGGGATCCCAAGCACCCCTAGCTCCAGCTGGCGCAGCTCTCCTGTGCCTCCAGAACCCGGCCTCCCTGTGACAGGGTCCTTGCTCCATTCCTCAAGGACCCATGTCTCCTTCACACTTCTCCCCACCTCCAAGACCCACTCTTCTAACCTGCCAGGGCTCCAGGTCCCCTGTCCCCCATTCCATGACCAAACCCAGCTTACTGGTTTCTCCTCTCACCACCTGCACTCAGTGGAGTCCTCCCAGAAACCTGGGCATCCAGCCCAGGGCTTCTTGTGCACCCCACCCTCCCCACCTACTCCTTCAGATTCTGTTCTCAGTCATTCAAGCAGTGGCCTTTACTAGTTCACCCCTGCTGTTCTCCAGGGAGGATACCCGCAGGGACCAAGCTTTCTTGAGGGTCCCAGCAATCTCCTAGAACTTCCTGGGGAGCCAGGGAGATATCCCAGCCTTCTATGGAGGGAATGCAGGGCAGCTCGCCCTCAGGGTGAAACAAATCACAGAGGTGCAGTCACCGGGCTCCTCTACCCTTGGACTGAACCCCTCCTTCACCAAACTCTGCTCCTGCAAGCCTAGAATTAGCTGAGGTGGGAGCTTGGAGGGTGCCACTCTCTGCACCCACCCTCTCCGTTCTGGTAAGGTGCTCAGACAGCACCTGACGATCTTCTTCTCAGATATTATTCTCTCCTGTCCAAGAGCTGCCTGCGTGAGAGGATCCCACTCAGGTCTGGTTCCTCTTCCCACACTCATGGCGGTCCCAGGTGGTGAGAGTAAATTGCTGAAGCTGGCCACAGGTGGCTTTGTTGTCAGCCTCCAGTCCCAAGCCATTGACGCAAGCGCTTCAACGATGATTTTTATTTTATTTATAAATAAATAAAGATTTTTAAGATGTTATTTATTTATTTGAGAGAGAGCAAACCAAGCACAAGCAGGGGGAGGTGTAGAGGGGAAGGGAGAAGCGGGCTCCCAGGGAGCCCCCCACCGTGGGGCTCGATCCCGGGACCCTGAGATCATGACCTGAGCCGAAGGCAGACGCTTAACTGACTGAGCCACCCAGGCGCCCCAACAACCATGATTTTTATTTGTAGTGTTTCTTCCAATTTCAAGTCTCCATCTGTGAAGGCTCCTGAATTCCTTCATATTTTCCCCCACCTCCTCCATTCCTTGCCTACGGTATTCTCACATTCCCTCTATCCCTAGTCCCATGTTTTTGTTGGTAGCTCTGCCCCTCTTGACTCATCCCTGAATGGGGTGGGGTGCAGGATGATATTTAGGGTGAGGCATTCACAGAGCAACAACTCCACCCCCACCCACTTCCCCTCTTCTGCTTCACTCACCTGCTCTGTCACCACCAAACCAAACAGGTCAGAACACCTACTTGATGGGCTCTTCTCCACCCTACCCCACAGCTCGGCTGGTCCCCAGGTGAGTCAGACACCCCATCACCTCAGCCTGACTTGTGTCTTCCCAGCTGACATTCGCTGTCACTCCTGCTACAAAGTCCCTGTGCTGGGCTGTGTGGACCGGCAGTCCTGCCGCCTGGAACCAGGACAACAGTGCCTGACAACAAATGTGTACCTCGGTAATATCCCCCTCTTTAGTGAGGAGAGGGGGCCAGTGGGAGACTCTATGGCGGGGGCCGAGGCCCAACTGTGGCTCAGACTGAGATGGGACAGACAGCCCCAGCAATGACGCTATTTGGCCAAGGAGTCTTATGTGCCAGGCACCATTCTATGACTTTACATGGACTGTAGACAGTAACAAGTCCAAGGCCTCCCAGCCACAAGTCCCAGGACCAAGGCTGGGGTGAGGGGGCGGGGGACAGAAGTGCAGGAGGACAGTCAGACTTACTGAGAAGAGATAAGGGGGGGGGGCCAGGGCAGAGTCGGGAAGGAAGCCTGGGCGAGTGCGTGGGGAGGGGAGGTGGACACAGGCACGAAGGTACCCGTCCGAGCTGACCCCACGGCCCACTCCTACCCTCAGGTAAGATGTGGGTTTTCTCCAACCTTCGATGTGGCACACCGGGAGAGCCTTGTCAGGAGGCCTTCAACCAAACCAACCACAAGCTGGGCCTGACCTATAACACCACCTGCTGCAGCAAGGACAGCTGCAATAGCCCAGCCCCTCGGCCCACCCCAGCGCTGACCCCTGTGCTCCTCGCCTCTGTGGCTGGCCTTGGCCTCTGGCTGCTGCACTGAGACTCACTCCGTCGCTGCCCCTCCTCCCACCTGCCTTAGGCTGCGTTTGGCCCTGTGTCTCCTTGTCCCTCGGCTCCTTACACTGGTCTCTCCTTAACTCCCTTCACTCAGAAAAGCTTTTCTCCAGGCTCTTCACATTTTTTTAATTAGACAGTGGTCTCCCCACCCATCCTTCCACCTTACATCCTCCACTCGGCTTTTCCCGAGTCCCTTCCCATACCCCTCTAGACCATCCCAGACCCTCCACTGGTCCCCAGAAGAGCCCTGCGCTTCGCATCCTGCACTCTACCGTGCCCGACTCGGGAGGGATGGGGATCTGGGCCTGAGATGGGGCTTCTGTCCTGTCCCCTGTGAAGGCTCCCAGGAAGGACCTGATGACCTCACTGTATGGGGCTGATTCCCCAAACCCTGGCCCCCATACATACCTCATCCCCATGCTCACATCTTTGCATTTTGAGTAATAAATGTCTGTGTCTGATAAACTGTGTGTTTACTGTCAAAATACCTGTTGTCAGAGGCCCCCTCTCGGGAAATAACACTCTCAGCTCCTGCCCTTCCCCAAGAATCCTCCAGGGAGTTTCCCTGAGAGGCTGGGCTGGGGCAAATGGAGAAACGGGTTTTTCAGGCCTCCATCCTTCCTTTCTGTGTCTGGGGTTGGCACACAGGTCCCAGTGTTTGGAGCAACAACCCTTATCCCAAATTTAGGCCACACCTCTGATGTACTGCCAAGAAGGAGGTGCAGCCTGGCTTGAAGACTCCCCCAAAAGGGTAGGAGAGCTGCATGGGCATGGGACCCAGGACCCTCTCAGCAGGCCCCAGTCCCTCAGGTTAGGGTCAAGGGCCTCACTTAGCCGGGTTACTAAGCAAGGCACCAAGCAACCCTCCCATCATGGGGCTTCCATTTCCTTTCTCAATCCTATAGAGTCACATTGGGAACCAAGCTGCAAATGGGAGAAAGGGGAACAAACCCAACCGGGTCTTTGATTCCTGTGACCCCCCCACTCAGCCCAGAGCCCACTCCCCTCAGTGGCTTCACGGCTAAGGAGGATTCTCCCTAGCAATAGGATCCAGGAGTCACTTAGGGCACATTCTCCATTTTCCTTTGGGGCTTCATTGGTTAAGGAGTAACTAAGTCTGCTGACGCTTGGTAACTAGAACACGGATGCCCCCATAACACTCGTGCAATTCTCCCATCAACGAAGGATAGATGGCATTTTCCAGTCAGCTCTAGAGTGGTGGAGAGATTTTAATGGCTCACAGAGGGCTGTTTGTCTTCTCACCTCAGATCTCCTTTGTTCCCTTGCTCCCTTGCTCCCCTTCCTTTCCCCCGAGCCCACTAGCCTCTCCACAGCGCTGGCAAGAGCCAGGCCAGGGCGGTGGCTGCTGCAGCCAAGATGCATGGCGGGGCCACGGTGCTTGCCACGGCGCTGTTACACAGGTCTCCGACGCAGCAGTCCCTGTGGGTTGTGTAAGTCACATCTCCCACCAACTCTGTTTCCACTTGATTGCAATGATGGGCCGCCACGCAGGCTGGATAGTGATGAATCAAGGTCACCGAGGCTGAGAGAGAGAACAAGACTGGGGTGTTGGACTCTTGGCTTGAGGACTTGCCTTCTAGGGCAGAGCGGAGGTGACTTCAAGGAGCCCAAAGGGATTCTCTGCCCCCTCCAAAAAACACCTCCACGAAACCAAGTGACCAAAATTAACATTGACATTGTGAGCCCTCTGATTCAACGGCACTGAAAAGGACCGACCTCCCTTCACTGTGCTGTTCTGGCCAAAAATCCATGACTACAGTCTAATTATGAGAAAATAGTAGATAAATGTAAATAGAGGGGTGTCTCTAAAATAAGTTATGGGGACTCTTGAAAAGTGTCAAGATCGTGGAAGACAAAGACGCAGAACTGTTGCTGACTGGAGACGAAGAAGACGCGAGCGCTAAATGCAATGCCGGGTCCTCATTTGGGTCCTGGACTGAAGCCAACATCCCTCTTGTCAGTTCAGGTGGAAAATGAACACTACAAGTCCTGTCACCCGCAGGCACAGCCGGACCGACTGAGGAACACACAAGCTTAGGCTCCAGGGATAGGAATGGAACCTGCGGGACAAGTAGTTAATCAGCACTATCCTAAAGACACAATCATTGGATGTGCCTAATGAAATGTCTAACATAAAGAATAAAGATATTTTTTAGATTCTAAGTCTCTTGAGATGGAAAAGACCTCTGGGGGACCAGATGAAGTGGCACCAGAGAGCCTGTGTGGGCATGACCTTGCGTGGGCCTCCAATCAACAGTGTCCACCGTCTCAGAAGACCCCTAGCCCAATTTTGCCCTCAAAAACTCTCACTTGCAAGCTGTCAGGGGGCGGGGGCGGGGGCGGGGGTGGGGGCGGAGTGGGGAAAAAAAAGATTTTATTTGTTTATTTGACAGAGAGAGAGCGAGACAGTGAGAGAAGGAACACAAGCAGGGGGAGTGGGAGAGGGAGAAGCAGGCTCCCCGCTGAGCAGGGAGTCCGATGTGGGGCTCGATCCCAGGACCCTGGGATCATGACCTGAGCCCAAGGCAGACGCTTAACCGACTGAGCCACCCAGGCGCCCCTGTACTATGGTTATATTAGATGTTAACATTAGAGGAAGGGAGGTGAAGGATATACAGGAATTCTACTATTTTTGCACCTTTTCTGTCAATCAAAAATTATTTCAAAATCACACACACACAAACACACGCCCTGGTCCTTAGCTAATGTCTACAAGCTTGGTTTAATATTTTGGTCCCTACCTTCAAGGGACAGAACTTTTTCAACCACTTACGAGTGAATGGGCCTCTGAGACTCTGGAGAGTGAAGAGGAGAAGGTGGGAGTCCATGGACAGTGGGCTGCTGGGGGGTCAGTGCCAGAGTCAGAAGGGGCTACAGACCGCTCTACTCTGCCATGGCATCATCTGCCCAGAGCCAGACTGAGCCTGGAGGCAGGGGAGGGCTGGGGGAAGAGGGAGAAACTGAGAACTCACGGTTTCCACACAGCTTGTTCTGCCCTCGCCCGGCTGGGGTTTGAGCTCCAAGAAGCCGCAGCACTCCTCCTCCCCGCAGGTGGCCACCGTTTCTTTGCAGGAGCTGCTGGGGCCTCCTTTGCACTCGAAGCAGAAGCATCGCATGTGGTTTCCTGGCAGGAGAAAAGAGGCACTTGACCTGGGCTGACCGGGAGCCAGTTGGCAGAGGGGGACAGGCCTTGACTGCCTCCTTACCCAAGGCAGACCCCAGCAGGGTGCCGAGCAGGACCCCAACAAGTAAGGAGTTCATTGAGTCTGCCTGAGTCAGTATCACCTCTCTCCCGCCCCCCCTCCTGGGCCCTGATCCGCCAGCCTTATATCCCCCTTGCCTTGGGCTTTATAGGGCAATAAAAAGGGAGGAAAGAATCTCCACCAGCAGGCACTGGGGCCCCAGTGGGGACAGGGACAGGGCCCCGCGGGAGAAAGAGCTCCTGGCATGCTCCAGAGTCCCTGGAGTCCTCCATCCTCAGCAGCGGTTCTCAAGCTCTGGACCCAGAACTCCTGGCCCTATAGACCCTTTCAGAGGGTCCTCAATGGTCTTCCTTTTCCAACTACATACCTACATGAGGTTGGCTTTTCTCAGCACACTTCAACCAAAACAACACATCCCAACAGTCTGAGTGCAGAAGCAGATGTGATAACCCGGCCATCTTCTATTCAGCCTGACTTTTATCTAATTCCCCAAAGTGTAGAGCGACACTCCTTTTCTGTGTTGTTGGGAAAGAAGTTACTTTTCACAAAACTGTATTTTGTTAACAGGTGATAGGTTTATTATTTTTATTTTTGAATAAACTTATTTAAAATGCTCTGTTTTCATTTTGAATATAGTAAATACTATAGTAAATACCAATATAAACTCACACAAAGAAAAGCTCTTTTGGGTCTTCAGTAATTTTTAAGAGTATATAGAGGTCCTGAGATTTAAAAAAAAAAAAAAAAAAAGGCTATCTGTCTCCTCTGCCCTCCTCCCTCCTCTATCTTACTCCCGATACATCCCTGCTCTGATTCCTCAGATCAGACTCTCCTCCTCAATGTCTTAAACCTCAGTTTTCCAGAATCTACCACCATCTCCTAAATCTTTTCCCTGCATTCCTTCCTAGTCTTTCTGAACTGCCCCCCTAGTGGAAACACATCTGTCCCTCTGGCCCCACCCATGATTAATTCCTTCCTCCGCAGTAGTAATGCTGGGAGAGATAATTATGGGGTACAAATGTTGAGGCTTGGGGGGATCAAAGGGATGTGAAGCTGGGTGGGGTCCCACTTACGCAGCTGAGCTTTGTGTGGAGGGGCGGGTGGGAGAGGGTATTGTTGATTCCACATTCAAACACCACGTTGGAACAATTCTGGGCCAGGCCTTCTAGGAGGGTGACCTTGAGAGACTCAAATGCACGGAGAGGGGAAAGATGGAGCAAACAAAGCCAGGGAGCTGAGCTGACAGAGCCGAGAACAGCTTGAGACAAGGGGAGGTGGGGAGGAGTGAGGGGGAAGGTGACAGACAGAACTCTGAAGCGGCAGACGCAGCTGAGAGCAACACACAGAGAACAGAGAAGACCCTGAAGGCTCAAGCCAGACTCAAGTAGGGGGCGGGGAGGATGTGAGAGGTGTGGGGCGCAGGAGCCGCGGGCCCAGGGCCCTTACTGCGTCAGGCTGGTGAATCTGGTCCTGGTTCCACCTCCCAGATTCACTCCCTAGGTGTGTTTGTTTACTGGTCCCTCCCTGTCTCGCTCAGATGCTCCAGCTCTCAGGATCTTGGGGTGTAGATCACATTCTCCCAGACTCCTGAGCCCTGGGTCCAGCCATGGGCACCTCCAGCATCTTCCTGTGCATCCTGTTCATCTGTGGGGCACTGGGTAAGGGGGTGCCGGTGGGGAGAAACGGGGAAGACGCTGAGCAGAGTGTTGCATGGGCTTTAGAAAGAAGAGCTCCCGGGAATGGCCTCAGGCCAGGAGAAGGGGGAACCAGAAGTTTCTTTTCCAAGGCATTTGAGAATAACTCTCTCTTCCTTGCAGCATCTTGACATGCCTCTGTCCTCTGTCTCCCCTGTTCCTTATCTCCCTCTTGCTTCTTTGCAGAGACCCCGCGGTCAGTGCCAATTCTTATTTGCTCTCTGTCTGGGGCACCATCTGCTTAAATTCTTCACTGCCACCCCGCCTTCCCGGTCTGGCTTTGGGTGTCACTCTCTGCCTTCCTCTCTGACTCTCTTGGCTTCTGTCATGTCTGTGCCTTTCTCAGAACCTCTGGATCCCTCTTGCATCTGTGTCTTTTTCTTTTCCTGAGGTGTCTCCCCTCCATTCCCTGTGTCTCTTTTCTACTTCTGTCTGCCCTTCTCCTTCCCTTTCCCCACCTCCCTCTCCCCACCTCTCTGCATGAATCCCTGTCCGGGATCTGGGCTCCAGCCTCTCAGGGGCCTCTCTGCCTCTCCCGACGTCTGCTGAGCCCTCCCCGCCCCACCGCAGGTCTCACCACGCCCCCGCCCCCGCCCCCTGCCCGGGGTCGGCTCCGCTGTTAAACCTGCGGCTTCGCCAAACCCTGCTACCCTGTTGCCACCGAGTGTCAGGACGACGAAGCTTGTGACATCAGCACTGGCACCTCAGGTAGGACTCGGGCCCAGTGGCCCTTCTCCAGGCCAATCTCCATCCACCCGTGCTGCTTTTCCTGCTGCCCCACAGCCCTTGCCTCCTTCCTGCCCCGGCCTCAGCATTCTCTTTGTCCCACAGAGCAGAATGAGATCATCGAGCGGAAAGGCTGCCTCCCACGGGCCCAGTGCCCTCTGCAGGGCCGTGCCACCTACTGGTCGCGCTCCTACACTCTGCGGCACCACTGCTGTGAGCAGGACCTGTGCAACACAGCTACCACGCTGCGGCCGCTCCCCAGCCCCCTCCTCACTGCCCTGCTCCTCCTCCTCGGGGCCAGCTTCACCTGGGGAGGCCCCCTCCTCCGCTGGCTTCAAGCTGGTCTGCAGCCTTCCACCCAGGGCTCTGCCCCCATCATCACCGCCTTCCAGACACCCGCATCTGAGATATGCCCAAGAACCTGATTCTGTAGAGACCTCGGATTCCCGGCCTCACACCTTCCCAGACCCCTGGTTCCTTCGGGCACTGCTCTAGCCCCTATAGGCACCTGCCCAGAGCCCCACCTCATAAAGAACACCTGTTCTAGGTCTTTTTTCTTTTCTAGATGCCCACCGCTGATGTCCTATCTCAGCTCCCGGTTTGGGGCAAGGCAGGTGGTTTGATGGAGCTGGGGGTCCCAGGCAAGGGGATTGAAGGGGCACCAGGTAAGGTGAGGAGGACAGTCTTGCTAGGAAAGATTAATTTGGCAGGTCAGGAACTCAGGAAGGAGGTTCTTGGGGGAACTGTGAAGAGTAAATTGAATAAAAGTGCTATCTGGGAGTCTAGGACACTGCTGTGTGTGTGTGTGTGTGTGTACTCTCTCTCTCTCTCTCCTCCTGTCTCTCTCTCTCTCTCTAAAAGCAAACTAGAGCTGCTTGGTGGGTTGGGCTGGCTGCTGGAACCCGAACTGTAACTTTCACCTCATTCTCCATCTGTGTCATTTGAGTCCTCCTTCTTGCTGATAGCTTCTTAGCTTAAGCTACTGTAGCATAAGACTTTCGGTGACTCTTCTGAGAAGTCACTCTCCAAGCTTGAGCAGACACACAAAAGGGTGTCTGGTGGAGCTGCTTGTGAGGGTGTAGTGGGGAGTCCAGCTCCTTTCTGCCTGAGACCGGGGAAGGACCAGTTAAGAGCATCAGTAGCCTCCCCCGCTTGACCAGCCCAGGCTTCTCCATGGTTCACAGACAGCCCAGCACACACCCCACCAGGAATCCACCCACCCCGCCCCTGTGCACACTCCCTCTACCCAAGGAGATAGCATGTGACTCCTGGGGCTCCCGGGATGTCCGGATGTTGATAAGCTTCTCACAGCTCCGGATGCCGGATGCCGCATGAAGTGCTAGGATAAGGAGGGTGGCTCAGGGCAGGGGCTGAGCACAGCCACCCCATCCTGACTCAGTGCCCTCCCCGTCCACGTGAGGAAGTCTGAGGTCTGATTAAAGGTGCGTGTTCTCCCTCCACTCCTCTGTGCGAATGAGACTGAGCAGGGATGAGGGACGGGGTGGGGCGTGGCCTGGTTTAATTTAGAGGCAAGCTGAGTCTTCTTCCTATTCTCTGTCATTCAGTCCTCCCACTTGGTTGCTTCTGTTGTTTTCCCTCTCTGCCCATCTCTTTCCTCTAATGTGAGTCCTTTCCCTTCCCTCTTCTTTAGTCCCCTCCATTTGTCCTGTGGTTTCCCCAAGGCTGACTCTCCACAATTGCTCAAATCTCTGGATTCTTCTATCTCGTCTCTGCCCATGCCCACCCCTCCTCACCCCCGCCAGCCACCCTGGGCTCCCCTCAATCCCATGGTACTGGGGGCTCAGGGCCACCCCTTCACTGGTTGTTATGAAACAGGACACCACACCTTCTCACAGGTGACATCACAGAATAATGCTCTGCTTTCCTTCAGCGCCACCCCCCAACACACACACACACACAGAGCTTGACTGCTGGAGACCAACTGGACTGTAAAGTAGCACTCTCATCCCTTCCCCCCTTGCCACGGTTTTCAGGCGAAGCCTTCAGGTGCCAGATGGCCAGAGAGACAGCAGGTCACACTTCCAGCAGATGTCATGGAGATCATCTGATCTTGGGGGCAGGTGGGCTGTGGGTTTTGTGAAGCAGAAAGACAGATTAAGGATACTTCCATTCTCTACCTCCTCAGGAACGGGGACCCCCATACCCACCCCAACCCCAGTCTCCTCTGGGATTTAAGCCTGCACCCCCTAGTGTTCCTCACCTGAGACAGGCCAAATGGATGTTCTCATAGACCTGGATTTCAGGTTTGAACTGAGGAATTGAGGCATCTGGGAAGAAGGAGCCACATGGGGTGCAGCAGAGAAATCACCAGATAACTCAGAGCTATATTCCTTACTACCCTCCTCCCCTAGAGAAGATAGGGTATAGAGGCAAGACGTGAGCCCAACCCTCTGCCTCACACCACATGTTCTCTTCTTTCCCTCTGGGAGGGAGGGACTCACCTCTGCACTGAGCCCCCTGGACCCTCTGTCTGCAGAGCATGATGCTGAGGGCTAGGATGGTGAACCCCTGACCCACTGTGAGCAACAGCATCAGGATCCAGGACACATCCCAGCCCATGGAAGGGGCACAGAGGGCAGGGGAGACATCCATGGAGGCTACAGTAAGGGCAAGACAACAGGGGTAAGGAGGGAGGTGGTGAGGGGTTTGTTCCTGTGCCCCAAAGAGAGGCTTCCCCTCGTAGTCTAGTGGGCTCTTCCCACCAAAAGACTTCATAAGCTTTGCCCCCAATTTCCACCAACCCACTTTGCCCATTTTTAAGCCTCTCATGCTGACCCTGTCAGCCCCTGTTGGTATCGAATAGCGACACCCCCCACCCACAGATGGACAGCTAACTCCAGAGCAGACCGTTAGCCGTAACTGCAGTCTTTCCTCATATCCTTAATAGTAATCCAAACTTTCAGGAACAAGTAGTGCCTTCCAATTCATTCTTTCTTTCACTCATTCACTCCATAAGCATTCCCCGAGTGCCCACCAAATGCCAGGCACCATATTAGGTGCTGAGGATGTAGAGGGAAATAAGACCCAGTCACTGCCCATTAATTGGCCTTTGCTTACCAAAGTAATGGCCATTTGCTCCTCCCTCCTGCCTTGTAAATGAGTTATTCTACATTCAATAGCATTCTTTCTGTGTATAACGGACTTCTAATTATAAAACAATTATATATATTTTCCCCTTCTAGTTCCACTCTCAGTAGGCCATTAGAACATCAGCGCATATATCTTTTCTTCAAAAGACAATTCCCCCATCAAAAATTCTTCTTTTCTTCCTCTCTGCTATGAGATATTCCACAAAAGTCATAGATTACCCCATTTCTAAGTAATGGTGTATTCCACCAGAAGCCTTCCAGTGGTCAATAGGCCAGTGGTCTATCCCACCAGAGAGCTGGCTTAAACAACCTCCTTCTCTGTTAGGGAGTTAGTCAATAAGAAAAAAAGCCCTCTTCCTACAGGTGATGGTCTGCTCCACCAGAAATCATCCCCCACCAGAATCTGGCCAATTGCAAAGTCCCATCTTCCTCCCCTAACCAGCAGGTGCAGACTGTGCCAGAAGCAATATCCTCTCCCATATCCTCCCTCAGTTTACCTGCCAGGCTAAAGCTGACCCCTTTGTTGTGAGGCATGAGGCAGCGGATGATTCTTGGTCTATGTTCCCCGGACTCAGAGAGCCCCTCCTCAGGACACACCAAGAGCAGGGCAGCCCCATTGCCCCAAAATGACTGTACATGACCCCTCACAGGACCCTTTCCCTCTAGCCAGGTCACAGAGTCTAGGCGTCTGGCAGGGGCCACAGAGCATAAGAGGACAGAGCAGGGGGGTCCATCTGCAGCCCTCGCGGATAGCTGGGATCCTGTGGGGAGAGAGGGACCTCTTAGTTCTCTGCTGGACTTCCTGGCCCCCCAGTGGCCCCTGATCTATGTGCCTTCACTCACCTCGGAGCACGGAGACATCATATACCCTCCAGTTCTGGTACTGGTGTTGCTGACCCAGCACAGCACACCAGTATCGACCGGCGTCTCCCTCCTTGGACCCTTCCAGCCACAACGAGTAGTTCCCCAGCAGTTTCAGCCTGGATACCCTTGTGGGCCTCCCGGGGTCTGGGGCTGGCCTGGCTACTTGCACTTGGGCCACCAGGGCAGTGGAGGAGCCTGCTGCAGGGCTGCGGAACCAGGACAGGAGCTCGTCTCCACTCAGGGCGGGTGGTGAGGGGCACGGCAGCTCCATCGCCTCCCCCAAGGCTACATAGATGGTCTGGATGTTGTCTGTGGGGAGAAGGATGTATGAGACTAGAGACCTGCATCAGATCGACAGCTCCCACTTGACCTCCAACCCCCAGCTTCTGCCCTTCTGGGGTCTCCCCGCATGGGTCTGCCTATGAGTACGTTTCTCAAGTGACAGCTACAAAAAAGTGAGGAGGGGAGGAGAGGGTAGGGCCTCTCCTCCCCTCTCCTCCAGTGGGTGAGGGAATCTGAAGGCAAGAGAAAAAAGGCTAGAATAGTTGGCAAAGGTCCTTTCTCTTCCTCTCCTTTCCCCTTCTCTGGACGTATTTTCTCGTCTATCCTTATTTTCTAAGGGAAACTGTACATAACCCCCCCGCAAAAAAAGACTCTACAAAACAAAACAAAACCAAAGCCCCCAAAATTAAAAAATTAAACATTAGGGACTCCTGGGTGGCTCAGTTGGTTAAGCATCTGCCTTCGGCTCAGGTCATGATCCCAGGGTCCTGGGATCGAGCCCCACGTCGGGCTCCCTGCTCAGCGGGAAGCCTGCTTCTTCCTCTCCCACTCCCCCTGCTTGTGTGCTCTCACTCTCTTGCTCGATCTCTGATAAATAAATAAATAAATAAATAAATAAATAAAATCTTCAAAAAAATTAAACATTAAAAAAAGAAGAAACTGTACATAACCTGGACCCTCATTGTCTCTGGATCTTCCCCTGAGTTAGAGGCAGGGGGAAGTCAGTTGGAGTAAACTATCTTCCTGAGTCATATACCTTCCCCAGGCCTCTAAGGAGAAACAACAGTAGTTCCTTACAACCTTTCAAATAGCCAAAGAATCCCCCACCTCCTGTTCCTTACCTGCAGCAGCCTGGTGGGGTCCATGTAGAAACAGAAGGAGGAGGAGTAAGACGGTCATGGAGAGAGCCTGCCAAGTTCTCTTGCCCAGGACCTGGTGCCTCACAGAGGAAAGAAAACCCAGATATAGTCCCATGCTCCCTGGTCTGTAGTGACATGGGGCTCTGAGGGGATGGGAATGCTGGGGAGATAAAGCCTAGCTTCGTGTCTACTGGGGAAAAAGTGACTACCCCCTTTCAGTCCCGATGGGGAAAAGACCCCGTCCAGGGTGTTCTGAAGATGATCTCCTCACAGTTCTGACTCTACATCAGCTGAAGGATACAGATCAAAGACTTCATGCTAAAAAGCCTGCGCAGAAGGGGGCACAGCTGTCCACCTTCATTCATTCTGGAAGTACATTCTGTTCTCTCTTCTCCACCCTAAGAGAGATACCAACCATGAGTGAAGAAGCTGAGTCTTCATGTCGGTCTCCACAGAACCCAGCATAAGACTGCATACCTAGTCAATACTCCATGAATAATTTAGAATGACTTTCCCTATGGCTGCCTGGCACACCACAGACCTCTTCTGAGCCCCTGATGAGTGTATTAAGTTACTCCTGAAGGAAAAAGATAACAGGGGCCTAGAGAATTCACCAAATCCCTTTACCCCAGGCAGGATTCTCAAAGCAGATCTTCATATAGCTCTAATAGTTTTTAATGTGTTATTTATTTTTGAAGGTTATTTTAAAAAAAATTTTTTATGGTTGGTATGTTTTTAATTTTTTATTTATTTTTAAAAAGATTTTATTTATTGGAGATAGAGTGCATGAGCGCGAGAGAGCATGGGGGGCGGGGGGGCAGGGAGAGGGAGAGGGAGCGGCAGACTCCCCACTGAGCAGGGAGCTGGATGCAGGGCCCAATCCCAGGACCCTCGGGGATCATGCCCAGGATCATGACCTGAGCCGAAAGGCAGACACTTAAGGGACTGAGCCACCCAGGAGCCCCTTAATTTTTTATTTTAATTCCAGTTAACATAGTGTTTTATTAGTTTCAGGTGTACAATATAGCGCTTCAATGCTTCTTTTTTTTTTTTTAAAGATTTTATTTATTTATTTGAGAGAGAGAGAGAATGAGAGACAGAGAGCATGAGAGGGAGGAGGGTCAGAGGGAGAAGCAGACCCCCTGTTGAGCAGGGAGCCCGATGCGGGACTCGATCCCGGGACTCCAGGATCATGACCTGAGCTGAAGGCAGTCGCTTAACCAACTGAGCCACCCAGGCGCCCCGCTTCAACGCTTCTATACATCACCTGGGGCTCATGAAGACAAGTGCCCTCCTTAATCCCCAGCACCTATTTCACCCATGCCCTACCCCCCAACCATCAGTCTGTTCTCTATAATTAAGAGTCTGTTTCTTTTTTTTTAAGATTTTATTTATTTATTTGAGATAGAGAACAAGAGGAGGGGAGAGGCAGAGCAAGAGGGAGAAACAGGCTTTCCGCTGAGCAGGGAGCCCGACGTGGGGCTCGATCCCAGGACCCTGAGATCATGACATGAGCCGAAGGTAGAGGCTTAACCGACTGAGCCACCCAGGTGCCTCAAGAGTCTGGTTCTTGATTTCTCTCTTTTTTCCCTTTGCTTGTTTTGTTTCTTAAATTCCACATATGGGGGCGCCTGCTTCTCCTTCTCCCTCTGCCGCTCCCCCTGCATGTGCTCTCTCATGCTCGCTCTGTTAAATAAATAAAGAAAATCTTTTTAAAAAAATTCCACATATGACTGAAATCATACATATTTGTCTTTCTCTGGCTGACTTATTTTGCTTAGCATTATACTCTCTAGCTCCATCCATATCATTGCAAATGGCAAGATTTCATTCCTTTTTATGGCTGCATAATATTCCATATATATGTGTGTGTACACACGCACATACACATATCTCTTATCTTCTTTCTCCATTCATCAGTCAGTGGACACATGGGCTGCTTCCATATCTTGGCTATTGTAAATAATGCTGCTATAAACATAGGGGTGTCTGTATCTCTTTGAATTGGTGTTTTTTTATTCTAAAATTGTTTTTCTTTTTTTTAAGATTTTATTTATTTGAGAGAGAGTACAAGCGGGTGGGGGGTGGGTAGGGGCAGAGGGAGAGGGAGAAGCAGGTTCCCCACTGAGCAGAGAGCCCAACATGGGGCTCATCCTAGGACCCTGGGATCATGACCTGAGCTGAAGGCAGACGCTTAACCAACTGAGCCACCCAGGTGCCCCTTTAAATTGTTTCTGATGAAATATTCCATGCATACCAAAGACTACATCAAATGTAACATAACGAGTAAAAGAAGCAAGAAACAAAGGGCATGATTTCATATGATTCCATTTACGTGAGGTACAAAATCAGGCAAAACTAACCTATGAATTTAGAAATTAAAATAGTGGTTACTCTTGGTGGGGCAGGTAGTGATTTGAGGAAGATCTTGTAGATGTGGTATAATGTAATTTTGATCTCGATGCTGATTACATGGATATATTCCAATGGTTCACTTTTCCGTATAGGTGTTTACTGCAATAAGAAGCTAAAGAATGTATATATTATGTAGGTGTAAGGTACAAAGAAAAATAAAACAAACCTGAATATCTATTAAAAAATAGTATTACCATTTCAAAGATCCTCTATGCTCTGTTACACTATTCTAAATTTGCTCTTTTATCTTTCACTCTCATTAAATTTTCTTTTTGGACGTTATACAATGGTGTCAGGTTGTATGTAACCTGTGGGTTTCTTTTTTCCACTCAATGTTACGGTTTTAAGGTTTTGAGATTCGTCCACGCTTGCGAAGCGATAATTCATCCCCCCCCGCTTTTGTTTTGGTTTTTTTTGACCAGTATTTCACACTCCTTAACAATACTGAGTCCTCCTATCCATGACTGCGATGTAGCTCTCCAATTATTCAAGCCTTCGTTTACCTCTTTCAAAAACTTTTGAAATTTTCTTCATAAAATCTTGCATTTCTTTGGTTAGATGTATTCCTAGACACCTTTTCTTTTTTGTTGCTCTTGTCAAGTGCTCCTAATCTTACCTCTCGTTCCCACTGTCGCTCGAGAGCCTGCCAATATTAAGGGATTAAAAAGGGGGGGCGGGGACTTAACTACGCCTGATAATGTTCTAATTCTCCGCGTTCCAAACGCCTCCGAATAATTTCTGACCATTGCTCTACCCGTAGGTCCAACTGCACGGAAACTGTCTCAAGCAGCGCGGAAAATGTCTCCACAGGGCACGAGGCGGAGCCGGTACGTGCTGACGTCAAGGGCACGCAATACCTTAGAGGCCGGGAAAGGGCGGGGCCAGCAGGGGGACCTGCTGCTGGGAGAGCCGCGGCCGGAGCGGGGGCCATGGCGAAGCTGCTGAGCTGCGTCCTAGGCCCCCGGCTCTACAAAATCTACCGGGAAAGGGACTCGGAAAGGGCCCCGTCCGGCGTCCCTGAGACTCCAACTTCAGTCACTACCCCCCCTTCCAGCTCCTGGGTGAGTCGAGTTCTCCCCTGGTCAAAAACATGGTACGGCCCAAACCCCTCTGCGGCCTTTGCTCCCCAGAAGCGCCCATCATTGGAAATCGGGGGAGCCTGCTTGTCAAGCCAGTTGTCTGCAAAGTGCTCTTGGTGCTTCCTGGGTTAAAGTCACGCCTGCGGACCGGCTGCCTCCTTTATCGCTGTTTGCCATCGCTTTCTCATTCTGACTACCACTCCTTGCTTTTTCCTCTTGCGGCCCCCCACCCTGTCTTTCGTGGTTCGTGCTGGTCCCATTTGACTCTAAGTCCTGGAAGAGACCCTGCGCGGATTCGAGAGCTGGATGATTTTGCCGTCTGACTCTCGATTTCTTCTGACTCGGTGCCTTCCCCGGTTCTGTTTTCTCTTCCTTCTACCCTGGCCTTGAATTTCAAGATGACTTCGACATATGTATCCGCTGCCCCCCACCCAACCGCCCACCCTACGTTGGAGACCCCAGGGTCATCGCATCCGTGAAAGCTGGGGGTGGTGGTAGGCTGTGTCCGTACATGTTCTCTGCCCTTTCATTGGTAGTCTCAAATTGTGTTTAGTTTATTTATTTATTTTTTAAAGATTGAGAGAATGAGAGAGAGAGAGCACGAGAGGGAAGAGAGCAGAGGGAGAAGCAGACCCCCTGTTGAGCAGGGAGCCCGATGCGAGACTCGATCCCGGGACTCCAGGATCATGACCTGAGCCGAAGGCAGTCGCTTAACCAACTGAGCCACCCAGGCGCCCTCAAATTGTGTTTATTGCCCTCCAGAACTTCCCGCCCTCAGCCACATTCTCCTTAATCACCCTACTGTTATTTCTGATCTTCTTTCCCTCTTAAAGTTGTCATGGTGTCTCTCCTTTCTTCCATAACTCCTCTCCCCATATGCACATGCCCACAACCCGTTTGAAACTGGGCTGTGGAAAAGGAGCACAAAATGTCCAGTGAGGCTTTCACTTTTGCTTGCAAGTCCAGGCCCCTATGTTCTCATGGTCTGGGGTAGGAAATCAGGTTTGGAGTGGGGGTTGGGAAGAGGGGCTTCTTTGGGAGCCAGGGATGTCCCAGGAGGGATTGCTTTGGAGGCTAGAACCAGAGGACACACATCAGGGCTCTCAAAAGGGAAGGGGAAGGACTTGTCAATGGACACGGTCCTTGATGCGGCCATCTGTTTTGGCAGGATACGTACTACCAACCCCGTGCCCTGGAGAAGCATGCTGACAGCATTCTGGCACTGGTATGTCTGCCCTGGCGTCTGGGACTACTGCATCTTTTCCGACCCAGTTGCCCTCCTGAACTTTCTCCTCCCCAGCCTGGGAGAAGGCAGTGCCCCTGGGGGTGGGGGATGCTCTGGGCTCTACAGCCCTCTCCAAGGCACACATGGACATGCTCTCAAGCACACATACTTGGTACTCCCCTTTGGTGTGTTTGCTTTCTCTGGGGCAGCCTGAGCCCTAACGAAAATGTGTTTACTCTTGGGACCATCTGCAGGTGCTGAGTCCTGTGGTCCCCAGTGACCTGTCCTCCCTGGCAACTAACCTCTTTGGCTGCAAAGACAGCTGTTTTCTCTGGCAGGGTTCCTATGGTGACATTTGTGCATCTCTTGGGGACCAGGCCAGGTGCTGTCCTGAGCAGGGCTGATGGAAAAGGCTTGATTACCTTGAGCAGAAAAAGAAACTGGCCTTTAAACGTGATGAAATTATGTCCGGAGATAAGAGGAAGAAAACAGAACCTGTACCTAATTTCCCCAGCCTCTGTTATGCTCTGATACATTGCCTTTCAACAAATATTAAGGACCTACTGTGTTATGCACAGAATAGGTACTTGATATGACCTCCTGTCCACTTTGCTCAGAGCCTAGGCCTGGAAATGGCAGACCTATGTGTGTGTATTGATTGCTTGTCCCTGTCTCTCTGCTGCAGGCTTCAGTCTTCTGGTCCATCTCTTATTACTCCTCTCCCTTCGCCGCCTTCTACTTATACAGGAAAGGTCAGTGTGTTTTCAAAGGTGATGGGCAGGTTGTTGGCAGATGAGCTGACCCCCCTAAAGAGGAAAGGGGACCTGTGAGGATGGCTTGGCTTCCCTCTTCCATCAGGCATCTTCTTCCTCCAAGGGCATGGCTGTCCCAAAGAGAGGGTATGGGGCGGAGGTTGAGGCTGACCTGGGAAGAGATGCCGAGGGGCAGCGGGGAAAACTTCTCACATAATGCCTCTCCCCTCCCAGGTTACTTGAGCTTGTCCAAAGTGGTGCCGTTTTCTCACTATGCTGGGACGTTGCTACTACTCTTGGCAGGCGTGGCCTGTCTCCGAGGTAGGTCCAGAGGGAGCCTGGTTTGGATCTATCCTTCACTGGGTAAATATTTATTAAGTAGCTTTTGCAAATATAATTTTCTGCTGGGCCCTGAGGGGGAATAATTGGGAATGGTGAAGATATGATCTTTTCCTTAAAGGGCTTGGTTGTAAGAATGAAAAATTAATTGGCAGAAAACTTTGCTGTTATCTGGAAAAGATGCATATACCCTACAGTAATTCCGCACACGTCCATATATATATGTTTGTAATAATCTGAAACTGGAAACAAGTCCATGGCCACAAATTGTAGGATGGTTAAATACACTAGATTGTCTAGTTCTACAACAGAACACAACACAGCAATGCAAGTGAACAAATGTAAGCTACACTCAGCAATGCAGATGAGTCTTAAAATTGTAATGTTGAATGCAAGAAGCAGACAGATAAGGTATGCAGTATATTTCCACTTATGTAAAGTTCAAAAGGGATGCATATATAAGTAGCAAAACACAGGCATGGTTATCTTGAAAGTCAGGAGAGTGATTACCTGGGAGAGGGAGGGAACAGGATGGGGAGGACTCCTGGGGGGATGTGACTGTGTTCTCTTCCTTGACTCAGGTGATGGTCACATGAATGTTTGCTTTGCATTTTTTTAAACTGTGTGTTGTATGTATGTATGTCATATCTGACAATTTAAAAGTGAAGAGACTGTCCAAATCGTTGCCCCTTGGCAGGTGCACATGACAAAAACTGGGCGAGGGGATGCTTGGAGAGGGAGTGGCGGGTCAGCAGCTGGATGGCTGCACTTGGGCCCAGGCAGGGGTGAGGACCTTCTGCCTGCAGTGTTCTGCCTTCTGATCTCCACTGGCCTGGGCTCCCTCCTCAGAGAGGCCTTCCCTGACGTCCTGATCTAAAAGTAGCTCCCACTCCTCGGTTTTGTCCTACTTTTAAATTTTATTTATTTTTAATTTGGGCACAAAAATTAAATACAGAAAAGCCCAGAGAACAAAATATCATAATAATTATATTTTTTAAGATTTTATTTATTTATTTGACACAGAGAGAGAGAGAGAAAGCAAGCATAAGCAGGGGGTAGGGGCAGAGGGAGAGGGAGAAGCAGGCTCCCCGCCGAGCAGGGAGCCGGACACGGGGCTCGTCGATCCCAGGACCCTGGGATCATGACCTGAGCCGAAGGCAGACGCTTAACCGACTGAGCCACCCAGGCGCCCCATTATCATAAAGAACTGAAAGGCTTATGTTTGTGATACTGCTTCAAATACCTTTTGTCGATAAAAGACTGAAGCCTTGCATTCAGAGTTGGCATTCCCATTGGAATCTTCCCCAGTTCTGTGTTCCTCTTTTGCCAGAAGTAGCCATTGCCATTTGTCGGGGTTTCTTTCCTGGTCCACATTTTTATGCTTTTATGCAAGATAGGCCTCATTTTATCAAATCTAAGCTGTTATGACTTGTAAGATGCATTCCAATTTCAGTTTTCAAATGTGAAAGAAAAATAGGCATTTTAGAATCTATGAAATATGGTAACTAAAAACAATATATAGCCCTTCTTTTGTTCATTTTACATTTTTGTCACAAATGGCATCACGCTGTACAAATCATTCTGCACCTTGCTTTGTTCCTCAGTATTGTCTGGGGTCTCTACCGCTGATGATAATAGCATTCTAGTTCATTCTGGTTTTATTTTCTTGATAGCACTTTCCCCTCTCTGAAATGTTCTTGTTTACTTGCTTACCGTCTTTCTCCAGCCCCACCCTGCCCCCAACCGAAGCCCCAGCTCTCGGGGCTGGAATCTGTGTGTCTCATTTCCAATGCCTCCCATATCAGTGGTGCCTGGCCCGTGACACCTGCCAGATCAGTGGAAGCAGAGAAGTCAGGGCTTGAGACTCCTTGGCAGTGAAGGGAGAGCAGATGTGATCGCCAAAGGGCCAGGTGAAGAGAGGAAAGAGCTTAGCGTTGAGGATGGCTCTTGTTTCAGAGAGGGAAGTGGAAGGGAGGCTGGGAGGAGCAGTCTGGGAGTCGGATGGTGGAAAAGATGGACCCAGGAAGCGGAGGAGGAAGGAGTCTCGAGGGACAGGAAGAGTGCTGAGAGGCACAGTTGGAAGAGAGCGGGGATGGAGGAAGGGGCTGCGGATTCAGTGAGGAAGTGATTATGGGGCAAGAGCAGGAGCCAGAAAGCCAGATGGCAGGGAGTTAGATTGTACAGAGAAAAGAGGGAAAGCAAGCAGCTCCGTGCTCACCGGGGTGACTAGGAAGATTGCATGACACTGTGGTAAGACTGGGAAAGTGAACATTCTGGAGGGTGGAGGGTTGGTAGCCTATCAAGAAACAAACTGAAGAAGCTGGGTAGGAGGAGAACACTGAAGCCAGTTGCTAGATACGGAGGAAGGGGGTCAGCTCGACTCTCCTGTTTCCCCAAACCCTGGGCCATCTGTTCCTTTTCCTCCCACTTCTCTTTCCAGGGCCTTCTCCTTGCCCATCTCCAACCCTCTTCCTGAAACTTACTCAGCTTGCTCGTCCCACTTTTCCTAACACTGTTTCCTGTCCTCTCTCTACCAGGCATCGGCCGCTGGACCAACCCCCAGTACCGGCAGTTCATCACCATCTTGGAGGCAACGCACAGGAACCAGTCTGCCGAAAACAAGGTGAGAGGTGCCAGATGGGTGCCCTGGCAGCAGCTTCCTCAGCTGCCTCCCCGGAGCACCGGGCACCAGCTTCTGCCTGGGGGAGGAGGTGGGTTTTGCCACAGACCATACTGGGTTTTCGCTTGCCCATTGCTATATCCCTTCCCCACTGTGCAAGTGAACTGTCCACCCAAGGAATCTTCCTTCCTACCACTCCTAATGGGATGTTCCACGGTGTTTCTTCGAAGGTGGTCTTCTATCAGAGCAGCTCAGTTGTGTAGATGGTGTTTATTTTGGCCATGTGCATCAAACACCATGCTAGTTTTGTTCAGGGATGGGATAAGATGGACAGGTATGTCCACTCTTGTGCCCGGAAGCACAGCGTGACGCCAAGAGGGAGAAAAGCCAGGGCACAGTGTCCTTGGAGTTGTGCCAGCCCAGCTGGTGCTGGAGTGTGATTATCTTTCAGAAGGGGCTTTGGGGCCCTATAAAGCTCTTTCCTGTTACAAAGGGGCTCCTGGGATCAAACAGCTGTGACCACCATCATCCTGCTCCACACCTCCATTTACCGAGCTATGTAATGATGGTCCAGCACGCCGCTGTCTGAGCCATTTTGCACACACCCTTCCCAGTCCTCACAACAACCACATGAGGTGGTATTATTATACCTCTGAGGAAACAGATACAAAGAGGTTAAGTGACAAGCAGAGTCACAGAGCAAAGGAAGTGGCTGGGTCTGGGTTTGCGTCCAGGTCTGAGCAAAGCCTGTCTGAAATTTGCTTTTCTTCATTTTGTTTTGTTTTGCCATTTACATTTTTGTAGAGTGTTTCTATTGTTCCCTCTTAGTCAAGTTATTTTTGAAAATGCCAAAAAATTTCTGTGACGGAAAATAAAAAACAGCTCTCAAAATAGAGTGCTGGGCGCTCCAGGGCTGAGGGAGGGAGGACAGCAGAATAGAAGACGCAGCTCCCGCCACCCTCAAAAAGCGTGTGGGCAGACTCAGTGGGGCGACTGGCGGCGGAGATGGTCTGGCATCTGGTGGCATCACCAGCCCCTGGCTGCAGAAGGTGAGGGAAGGAAGGCTGTGAGGACGGAAGAGTCAGAGAGGGCTTCATTCAAGAGGTGGTCCCAATGCAAAGGAACCACTGTAGGCATGACTTCCCTCCTTCCCTCTCACCCAGCCTCCAGGACAGCATCAGGGAAAGGCCCCGGGGGGGGGGGGGGCGGGTAACCAGCCAACAGACCCCCCACTTCCGCAGAAGCACCAGCACCTCCAGCCACCCATTCTGGGAGTGGGTCAGTCTTACATTTTGGAAAAGCAAAGACTGTTAAGTTCCCTTCTGGAAGCAGCCAGGCCAGTCTTGAGAGCGGATAGGGCATCCTCTCTTGCCTGATTTTTCAGGCCATGACAGAGCTTACCCTCTGTGAACTGAGGGGGGGAGGGAGGGGTGTTGACTCGTCTCCCCATGATGTGTGGGGGCCAGCCCTGTGGATGGTGAGGGTGACGAGGGTGGGTAGGTAGGCCTGCCTTCTTAGTCCCCCTTTGCCTCCCCTCCTCTTTCTCCGCCTGCCCACCACAGCGGCAGCTCGCCAACTACAACTTTGACTTTAAGAGCTGGCCAGTCGACTTCCACTGGGAAGAGCCCAGCAGCCGGTGAGGTCCCAGTTCTTTCACTCCCTCCCTGCTCTGTCCTGTCCCTCACCTCCAGCCTCACCTTGGGCCCCAGGGCCTGCTCTCCAGTGCCATCTCCTCATTCCTAGACCCCCCTGTCCTCTGAGCCTCAGATGTCCAGCTTGCTGCTCCTAACTCCATCCTTCCCTGCATCTTTCCATCCTCAGGAAGGAGTCTCGAGGGGGCCCTTCCCGCCAAGGTGTGGCCCTGCTTCGCTCAGAGCCCCTGCACCGGGGGACAGCAGACACCCTCCTCAACTGGGTCAAGAAGCTGCCTTGTCAGATAACCAGGTGGGAAGCAACAGGGAGAGAGGCCCGCTGGGGTGGAGGGGATATGGAGCGAGGACTCCAGGACTGGGTGCTCCATTGTAAGATAGCTGTCCTTTATTGGGCCTCGTGCTGTAGACTTGATATTGTTTGTGATAGTTTCTAATCTAGATTTGTATGTGAAGAAAAGAGGTTCAGAGAGGTCCAGTCTCACAGATGGTGAAGGAAGGATTGGGATATTAACACGATTCTAACTGACACAAAAGCTTTTTCATTTTGTTATTTCTTAAGTTTATTTATTTGAGTAACTCTACACCCAACATGGGCCTTGAACTCACGACCCCGAGAGCAAGAGTCACATGTTCTACCAACTGAGCCAGCCAGGCACCCCACAAAAGCTCTTTTAATGAGGCTGGAGGGAAGAATGAGGTTGGGAGTGTGGTGGAGACACATAGCCTTAGCCAGAGTAGCTGTGTCCCTGTCCTGGGCCCTCAGCGCCTAGGCTATTCTACCTTAAGCGAGCTACAATTTCTGCATCCGTGAATAACCCACCTCATAGGAGTGGTGAGATTAAGTAGGGTAGCGTATTCACAAGGGCTTCCGCCTTGCCTGGGTGCCTGAGAGCACATGGCAAAGCCCAAGTAAATCATAGTTGTGGACACTGATGATGTCCAGAGTAACAGCAGTAAGCATCCGTATCTTACCGTGGCACAGATGCTGTGGGAATTCTCTGGTGCTGGGGGCTGGGAGGCAGGTTCCGGGGTACCAACGAAAGGGGAGGGCTTAGTGATCAGTGTGGACAGTGTGCTGATTGGTCAGAGGGGCAAGCCAAATTTGCGGTTTGGAGGGGATGCTGGACGGAGTGGTACAGTGTTTTTCTGGGGACAAATCCTATTTCAGGATTAACTGGAAATGGTTAATTGTCGTTTTCAGGAACAGCACCTACCTATCTGTCGAGATTAGCACATTGGTTCAGTAAATATTTAAGCCCCTACTCTGTGTCAGGCCGTGGCCACCTGCTACATGGCAGATACAGGGCATATTGCAGTGAATAGAACAGTCAGGTCTCTGCCCCTGTGGAGTCTGCAGTCTGGTGTCTTTCAAACTATGGATTTTGGAGTGACTGAATGGCTCAGTCAGTTGGGCAAACAACTCTTTGATTTTAGCTCAGGTCATGATCTCAGGGTTGTGGGATTGGCCCTGCGTCTAGCGCATCCTCACTGGGGAGTCTACTTCCCTCTTCCCTCCGTCCCTCCCCCTGCTTATGCACATACACACACACACTCTCTCTCTCTTTCTCAAATAAATAAATAAATCTTAAAACAAAAACCAAACTATGGATCTTGACCTATTTGTGAATCTTAAAATCAACTGAGTGAATTACAGCTGTCATTTTTTAAAAAGTATTATTTACTTGGGGACTTTTAAGAAGCTGCATTTTTAAAGTTTATTTATTTGAGAGAGAGAGAGCGTGCATGCGCGCACGGGTACATGCAGGGGTGGGGTGGGGTGGGGTGGGGTGGAGGAGGGGCAAAGGGAGAGAGAATCTTAACCAGACTCTGTGCTGAGCCCGGAGCCACACGCATGGCATGATGTCACGACCCTGAGATCATGAGCTGAGCCAAAACCAAGAGTTGGACGCTTAACCGACTGAGCCACCCAGGTGCCCCTAAGTTGTATTTATACATTAACAGAATCATAGTTAATAATAACTTTGCTTTTACTTGTCATATACAGAAAACATTATCTCCTAAAATTTTCAGTATATGTACAGATGTGTGTACTGGGCCGCAATATAAAATGTGCCCCTTATAAAGGTTGTAGTAAAAAAAAAAAAGTTTGAAAAATACCAGCTGGGTATATAGAATATTTCATTAAGTCCTTCGAAAGGAAAACAAACCTGTAAAGGTCAAGAAAACAAAGCTGAAGTTCAGGAGTGAAGCAGGCCCCAGCGTCTCTGGGTGCTAGGGCTGGGGTGGTCCCTGGGCCCTCCTGAGGTCAAGGGTCGGTTAACCCCCGTGTTCCCCGCAGCTACTTGGTGGCGCACACTCTGGGGCGCCGGATGCTGTACCCTGGCTCAGTGTACCTGCTCCAGAAGGCCCTCATGCCTGTGCTGCTGCAGGGCCAGGCCCGGCTGGTGGAAGAGGTGAGGCGCCCCCGCACCCTCCCCGCCCCGATGCTCCTTCTCCCCCCGCCAGGGATGTGACCTCCCACCCCTCACATCTCCCTCACTCAGTGTAACGGGCGCCGGGCAAAGCTGCTGGCCTGTGATGGCAACGAGATTGACACCATGTTTGTAGACCGGCGGGGGACAGCAGAGCCCCAGGGACAGAAGCTGGTGAGAAGGGGCAGGGAGCCCAGAGGCAGTTGGGGGCCAGTGGAGGCTCTGGGGATCTCAAGGTCTCCAGCAGCCCCAAGGATAATGCCGTCTCCCAGCCCCACCCTCAAGACCTCTTGGTGTCAGAAAACCCTGCCATAGCAAAATGGAAGAAGTAGGAGTTGACATTCAAGGACCAGAAGGTAATCTTGTAATAGTCACCACTTAGGCATTATTTGTCACATAGAAGGCATGTATTTCATTCTCACCACAACCCTATAGAATAGGAACTAATTTTTTATGTCAGCCCATTTTACAGAGGACGAAACTAAAGACCCGGGTTAATTCTCCCAGATCACACAGTGAGAGAGCTGGGGTTTGAACCCGGGCAGCCTGGCCTCCCAAGCGGCCCGCCTCCGTGAAGCAGCCCTGGAAGGAGCCCTCAGCCAGCAGTCTAGGGAGCTGGCTTAGGGTCCTGGCTACCCAACTGCTGTGAGAGTCCATGCAAGCCCCACCGTCTCTGGGCTTCGGCATGGGGCACCATGTAATCGGAGTTCATCTGATTCTAAGTCTGGAGCCTAGAGATGGAAAGCGATTGGCATACCCCACAAAAGAAACAGTTGTGAGAAAAAATAGACCCAAAAACTAGAAAAGAAAAAAAGGATCCATAACCCCATTTCTGAGAACTAGCCCCCTGCTGGTCTTCCGAGGAGAAGTGGACCCTGTGCTGGGTGGTTGAGCAGTTCCTCTTCCTCTGTGTGCTCAGTTTGCTAAGCATTTGCGTCCACTGTGCTTCTCTTCTTATGCACCTTGTGGGTTGAGAAATTTTCATTCCCCTTGAAGAGAACAGGTCCTTTCCTCTTCCCTACAAAGCTCCCACGTCCTACCACATGGGGCATTTTTTGTCCCAACTTGGCTCCTTCCCAGCCTTCCTTCCTGCCTCCCTCCTTAGGTGATCTGCTGTGAGGGGAACGCGGGCTTCTATGAGGTGGGCTGCATTTCTACACCTCTGGAAGGTAGGCCCGACGCTCAGCTCTCTCGTCCCTGCCCTTTGGAATGGAACGGCCCCACCTTCCCACACTGATAGAACTTCCCTGGCCCGATCACCTTGTCTGAATGAGGTTTAAAACTCTCACATCTGGGGGAAAGTGTACTCCCCATTTGCTTTGCTAACCAGACATCCCTCCCCTTGGGTTGTGTCCCTAACAGGATGGCCTTCATTCTGTCGCCACCACGCGATTACTGAACCTCTGATGTCATCTCCCCATTCTGGGAAGGCTCGGCGTTATTTGCCTCTGAGTTTGGGGGTGTTTAGAGCTCCAGGGTTCTGTTGCTCTTTCCCCTAGGGCTGGAGGGGGCCCCGGGGTGGGGTGGGAGGATGTGCACCATGAGGTCCTAACCCCTCCCCCTCCTCTGTTGCAGCCGGATATTCAGTTCTGGGCTGGAACCATCCAGGCTTTGCTGGAAGCACGGTGAGACCCTCTCTGAAATCCCTTTCTTTTCCTGAATTGTGGTCTGTCTCCCCCTGATCAGCCACTGGAGTTAGGGAAAGGGGTGTATATTTTCTGGAGGGGGGCTCCCACTCACCTGTCACCTAGGTGCCGGAGCAGGAAGTCAGACCCCTCCTCTCGCAGTGGGGAGGGGCAGGCAGGCTGGTTTTTGGAGAGTGCAGCCCCTCCCACCACACTTTTCTTCTGCACCCTCCCTGTCTGCTGCAAGAAGAGTCCATGCTCAGAGCAGGCAAGTGACCCAGGTGGCCTTTGGTGCTGACTCACTCCTGCCTTTGTCCTTCCTCCTGCAGGGGGTGCCATTTCCTCAGAATGAGGCCAATGCCATGGATGTGGTGGTCCAGTTTGCCATCCACCGCCTGGGCTTCCAGCCCCAGGACATCATCATCTATGCCTGGTCCATTGGCGGCTTCACTGGTACCAGCCTACCTCCTGCCCCCCTCCTCCCAATTTGTGCCACCCCTACCCCACCCCAAGGAGAGGTAGGGAAGTGCACTGGGGGCCTGGCAGTGGGGTCGAGGCTTAAGGGAAGAGAGGATGGAAGTGGGATATCTGCGTGGGTCTGGAAGATGGTATTCTATTTCTATACATTCCCATTTCCTTCCACTCTTATGCCCATTATTTTCTTTAAAAGATTTTATGTATTTATTTGAGCGAGAGAGCCGGGGGGAGGGGCAGAGGCAGAGGGAGAGAGAGAATCCCAAGCAGACTCCCCAGCGATTGCAGAGCCTGACACGGGGCTCAATCTCACCACCCCGAGATCATGATCCAAGCCAAAACCAAGAGTTGGATGCCTAACCGACTGAGCCACCCAGATGCCTCTCTTTTGCCCATTATTAAAAGAAGCAGACCAGGGTCCTGGGCAGGGGGGGATCAGGAAGTGAATCTTTCCTCTGCACATAGTCTTTGATGCACTTTGATGTTCTCTCTCCATCCTTTCCTGATAGTGCCCTGGCCAAGTGACGTGAGGGGTTAGGGGACACCTGGGGCTAACCTAGTAGGGAGGATGGCGCCAGCCTGTAGGGTCAATGGGACAAGGGTGGGGTGGTGGGCAGGAGCCCCTTGGTCCTCACCCTTCTTCCCTGTCCTGGTACCAGCCACGTGGGCAGCCATGTCCTACCCAGACATTAGTGCCGTGATCCTGGATGCCTCCTTTGATGACCTGGTGCCCTTGGCCTTGAAGGTCATGCCAGATAGCTGGAGTGAGTGCAGCTCCCAGGCCTGCCCTTCCAGGGAAGGGGTGGGCTGGAACTGGGAGCTTAATTCTAACTGGAGATGGATCCTTTTGCTGTGGATGGGGAGTGGGTCACCCCATTGTTGAGAAGCAGGAGGACTCCCCTGTCTGGGGCCTCAGTTTTCTCTTTCTGTGAACAGTGGGGACCTTTGTTTTGGGCAAGGGCTTTGTCTTTGTCATCGCTTCACTTTTATCCCACTCCAGGGGGCCTGGTGACCAGGACCGTGAGGCAGCATCTCAATCTGAACAACGCAGAACAGCTGTGCAGGTGAGGGCAGGCCAGCACGCAGCATGTAGCACCCTCCCCCACCTCCCCCTGGGCAGGCTCTGCTGGGTATTCTGGCAGATCTCCCAGTAAGGCCAGACTTCGGGCAGCGCCCATTCTTCAACATTTCCTCACCTCTGGGTGATGGGCTAGCCCATGGGGCCCTATGCAGCAGGGGGTGAGAAGGCAGCTCGTGGGGGGTGGGTAGCCAATTGTCACCATCTCCCTCTGAGCACTCCCTCTCCACAACGCTGTCCTCTGAAGGTACCAGGGCCCTGTGCTGCTGATCCGCAGAACCAAGGATGAGATCATCACTACCACGTGAGTGCCTGGGAGCCTCTGCCCCCCTGGATCCCAGACGGAGCTAGGAAGTTGCCCCTCCCGCCTCTGCCCACCAGAAACCTGGGTATCCAGACCCTTCCTCCCCAACCTAAGTCCCTCCAGTGTTCATTCTTCCCACCCCCAGGGTTCCCGAGGACATCATGTCCAACCGAGGCAATGACCTCCTGCTGAAGCTCCTGCAGTATCGGTGAGGGGGGGTGGGGGTTGTACATGTGTGTGCTGACACCGCACAGCAGGGAGGGAGGGAGGAGGGTTTAGGGGTGAGGAGCAAAGGGAGTTGGGTCCTGACCTCCCATCCCGGTGCTCCCTCTGTAGGTATCCCCGTGTGATGGCAGAGGAGGGTCTTCGAGTGGTGAGGCAGTGGCTGGAGGCCTCCTCACAGCTGGAGGAAGGTGCAAGGGGATGCCGTGAGGCCTTTGGGTGGGGGCGTGGCAAGGCCAGGTCACTGACGGGCGCTCCTCTCTCTCCCTGAGCAGCCTCGATCTACAGCCGTTGGGAGGTGGAGGAGGACTGGTGCCTATCTGTCCTCCGCTCCTACCAGGCAGAACACGGGCCTGACTTTCCCTGGAGTGTGGGTAAGGAGGTCCTGGGGCAGGAGAGGGTGTTGGGAAGAGTCCAGGAGGGGGATGAGTACCCGGATGTATGGCCCCTGTGTGAGCGCCTCTTCTCTGTAGGGGAGGACATGGATGCAGACGGAAGGCAGCAGCTGGCCTTGTTTCTGGTGAGCTAAGGGGTGGCAAGCAGGAAGGGGGTGCCGGGACGGCCAGGGGGCACGTGTGGGGCTTGGGGACAGCATCGGAAGTGGCAGCTTGTAGAGCGTGGGTGGTGGTTTCAGGGGCCATGAGATGTTTGGTGGTTGCTGCTCACCGCAGTGCTCTGCACCCCACCTGTCCTGTCCTCTTTGTTCAGGCTCAGAAGTATCTGCACAACTTTGAGGCCACACACTGCACCCCGCTCCCAGCCCAGAACTTCCAGATGCCCTGGCACCTCTAGCGACCACAGTGGGACTCGTTCTGAAAGAGTGGGACAGGAGGAGACAGGAGGAAGGATCCTCTTATTTGTGATTCTCTGTGTTCATGTTGCTGTTTATAGTTTGTGGGAAGTGGGGGGACTGTCCCCCTTCTCACTGCCCTCTTGCACGTTTCCCCTCATCCATCTGGCAGTACCTAACCTTTCCCAACACGCAGCCTGCATTCGATGGATTATTCCTAATAACTAATAAAAAGGTATTTTTTCTACAGTCGGGCTAATTGTTTGACTTCCCAAATGTCCAGGAGCCTGGGGCTGGTAGTGGGGACAGCTGAAGCCTCAAGGGGCTGGGATTTGGGGAACCCAACCCCAGCCAGCCAATTTAACCCTCCCCATCCCTGCTGTTCCCCCAGGCCTTCAGACCCCAACTTGAACTGTCCTCATGCAGTGGGTCCCCACGCCTCCCTATTCACTGGTCTGTCTAGTAGTATCACCACGTACAACCTCCCCTGCCCACGCTTTGTTGCCTACAAAGTGTTTTTCTAGTACCTGATTGCCCCTACTCAGGAATCTTCTACGGATTTCCAGATTCAACCTGCATGGCTTCACCATCAGTACCCCCAGTGTTCCTTGCTCAGCTCTTGCTGTTCCCATGGGGAGTAAGGAACAGCCCACATCTCACGTCTTAAGCAGCGAACCCTGCACACCTCCTCACCGTGTCATCAAGTCTTTTGTTGCAATTCAAAAACAGGGCCTTCCAGGGCCTGAGGCCTGGGCGCCAAGGGCTTATGTTCTCCCACAGCCACATTTCACCGTTCTGGACAGCTATTAGAATAAAATCCTTAGGTTGAAGCTGAGGAAATTGGTTTCCTCTAAGTTCTGTCCTATTTCCAATCCTTGGAATTCATGGAACGGAATCAGTCCTTCTCCCACCCATCAGTATGTTCCCTGGCCACCTCCTTCTTTGGGAACCTCTTTTCTAGATGAAACTCCCCCAGATTTACCCCCCTTGGCCACTGTTGTGAACAAGCTTAACATGGGCAAGCAATAATGCGCTGATGTCCTAGATGGCCTCTGGCTAATTTCAGTGTCTCCTGAACCCCACGGCATGAAGCTCCTTCTGCATTCTCTGGGGCAGGAGCATACTGAGTCTCCACTGGAAGGGTGATCTCTGATATGACACCTGGTACTTGGGGTTAAAAGAGAGGAGGTGGCCACAGCTCCAGAATGTTCCACTTTTAGCAAATACTGGAGAGTTGATGTTGGCACTCTGCTCCTCTGTCCCGTCCCAGGGGGCAAACAGGGTGGGAAGTGTGGAGCATGAAGCTGTAGGACCAGTTGCCCGGTTCTGAACTTCACCCTCCCTGATCCACCAAGACAGTTAGTTAATCTCCTGGAAAACAAGTCTGTTCAGCTAAGTTAACCTCCTTGAATGCAAATAGGGGGCACCTAGCCCCACCCCCCACACCCTGGAGACAAGGGACTCCCCCTTCCTGGCCATGGCCACTAGGGACTCTATTGACCTACCTCTGCCACCACTTCCCCTGCCCCCTTCTTCCTGCACATACTATAAAGAACAGTGGATGTCATGAGGAGCCCTTGGATATTTAGTGGATGGGGAGGGGGAGGTTTAACATTTGAATTCTGGACCCCCCACACCCACCCAGGGGCCTCAGTCTACATCCTTAGATCACTCCCCACCGGATAAAGCTCACATCAGCTGTTTGCTGAACAACCCCCACCTGGGGTGGGACCAGCTCCCTGTCCACTCCTCCTCACCCTATATAGCAGGGTTCCAACAGTCTCAGGAGAACATCTGAGATGCAGATCCCACATCTGCTGGGGCTCTGGACCTTGCTTTAATGGGCACCAGGTAAGGCCCGGACGGCCAGGCGTCCCCGAGGAGCTGGGCACACTGGGAGAGAGGATGGAGGCTGGGACAAAGAAGAATTAGCACCTGAGCAGGAAACCTGGGAAGGAGAGGTGGGCCCTGGGCTGGACCGTCCCTCATCCTTCCCTATCTTAGAGGCTGCCAGAGTCGGCTCTGGGCTCCGCGTTTGGGCTGAGGATTTGCTCCACTTCCCCAGGAGGGGCAGGTGTCTCCTTCTCGGCTGTCACAAGCGGGTGAGGGCCAGGTACCTATCCACTCATTCATCCAGCCACTCAACAAGCCATCCCAACACCCTGAGGAACCAAATCATTCATTTTTTTCATTCATTTATATTCGGGCTAAAGATGGCTTCTCGAGTTCCTCTCTCAGACTGCCTGGTCTAGCCGGTCGGCTAACAGAACTTGGCTCTCGCCCAGTCCAATCATCTATGGCCCCGCCCCTTGTCGGCCCCGCCCCGTTCCCCTGAAGGTGGCATTCGGCCCTCAGGCCCCACCTCCTTTGTTTCGTCACTCGGGGGCTTACTCCCAGGCGTCCCTTGTCCCGGGGGAGCGGCACTCAGCCCAGATACCGCCCTCCGCAGGTGTCACCATGGCGACCACAGCAGCGCCCCGCCTCTTCACCCCGGGAAAGCCTCCTTGGAGCCCGTCACCGTGGCAACGAACTCACGAGGCTCTGCCCGCGCACTGGCCGCGCCGGGTCGCTTAGACTGGGGAGTAACAAAACGAAACAGGGGCAGCATTGATGGCCGTGAGGCCACGCCCCTGCCGAAGAACACCTCTCCCAGCCCCACCCAGCCCAGCGCCGAAATACCACTCGTGTCTTCCCTCCCGCAGCGCGCGCGGCTATGGGCTCTAACTCCACAGCGAGTCTTCCCGGACCTCTCAGGGTCACTCCTTCAGGGAGCCCAGCCTCAGCTACCCATAGCTCCCTAGTGCTTGGACTTAGTTGCGGTTATATTCGAGAGAGGGGTTCCGAGGACGCTGTGAAATTCCCTTCTAACTCCCTTTTGCCCCCTTCGCTTCAAGAGGAGCCCCCGCTCTCTGATTCTCTGTCGTTCATTCAACAGACATTTCGGCTGGTGCCGGGCGGCCCTCCCACCAACTTCATTACTCTGACTTTTCAATAATACATTTTTCTTATTTCATTCATCCCAACGCTGTTGGGAGCGCAGTGGCGTGTATTCCTTTCGTGTTTCTTCTTTCCCGTGCGTCTTCCTTGGCGCGAGTCTCCGTCCCTTTCTTCCCATCTTCCCCATCAGCACCCGAGGCCGTATGATTCTTGGATGGTCCGGGACTGTAAGCAGGGAGCCCTCCTGCAGCGCCGCACCCCAAACCTCCAGACCGAAAATTGGAGCAGGTGATTCGCTCCTTTACGCCCAGCTCTTCCCACAGCCCACCCACACTTAAAGTGAAAACCCTGAGGGGCGCCTGGGTAGCTCGGTTGGTTAAGCGTCTGTCTTCGACTTGGGTCTTGATCTCGGGGTCCCGGGATCAAGTCCCGCATGGGGATCCTTGCTCATTGGGGAGCCTGCTGCTCCCACTGCTTGTACTGTCTCTCTGACAAATGGATAAATAAAATCCTTAGAAAAAATAAAATAAAATGAAAACCCGGAGTCCCTCAGAGAATGACCTGGAGAGGGGCATGCAAAGAGTCCGCCGGGCGTAGGAGCCGGGCAGGCCACGCCCCCCACCCCTGGCAGAGGTGGTGGGCGGGGCGCCCGGGACGCCCACGGCCGCTTATTGGTTGCTGCGTAGCCTCCTACCTGGGAGGGTTGGTGGCGCCGCAGCGCCGCCTTCCGGGTAAACCTCGTAGTGCTCTGGGTGTCCGTTAGGGGTGGATGTCTGGGTCCGACGCGGGCATGGCTTTCCCAAGTTTTCTTCCCAGACGCTCCCCGCCGAGAACTGAGCTCGGCCTGGGGGCCGCCCCCGCATCCTCCTGGGAGCCCTGAGGTGCAGTCGAGCTCGGAGAGCGAGCGCACGGCGCCGGAGCCTGTGGGCGCCGGAGATCAGAGCCACTGACCTGCAGCTGAGCTTAGGCGGAGCGGGGGAAGGGGGGCATAAGGAAAGGTGCTGGCCAGCCGGAAACCCCACAGAGGCCACTGGACTGAATAGGTCACTGGGGACCCAGGTGTCCTCAATTTGGGATTTCTCACCGTTCCACGTTTTCCCCATCTTGGAAAGTGGTACCACCAATCATCTCCTTGTGCAAGCCTATCCCCCCACCTTCCTTCTTTCCATATTCAGTCTAACTCCAAATCTGTCCAATTAAATAAGTGTCCGATTCCTTCATGTCGGCTCCTGCCTCTCTTCTGCTAGACCAGGCCGCCATCTTGTGACTGGACTCAGGAATAGCTTCCCAACTGGTTTCCCGGCCTCTGCAGTCTTTTACAAACAGAAATCTGATCTTGTTGCTCCCTTGGTCAGTGCCTTCGACTTCTCAGGCGCTCCCAGGAAGCACTTGTCTTCTCCCCCCACCACCACTCCCCATTATTCCTTGTTGTCTCCCCCACTAGACTGCTCTGTGAGGGCAGGGATTTTGTGCAATGTTGTATCCCCAACACCTGATAGCATGAATAAACTTATGTAGATTAAATATGAAAGAAAGTTTCCCTCTCATTCCCCTCTTGCCAGGGCTCTGTCCCCAAGGCAGGATATTAGGCCTTAGAGTGGTCATGGCTGAGGACACTCTGTCTCTCTGGCTATCCTGGCACTGATTTCCACCCCGAATGGGTGTTACCTTCCTCTTGGCCAATTTCTCTTCCACCGATATAAGCTCCAACTGGAGGCTGGTGGGCAGTCATGCATTTTATGGCAGGCCCTGCAGGTAGCCGGAGTATGGGGGCCCTGGGCCTCCACAGCAACCCCCAAGCCCTATACATGGTCCTTTTAATAGCGCTGGTCATGATGAGCTTGGTGTTTGGTAAGTGGCTCTAAGGGGTCGGAAGGGTCTCCTGGTCTGCTGGGTAGAGAAACCCACAGACACCAGGTGTCTGGGTACATCTGCCCAGGATACTCAGGTAAACCCAGGCAGGAGGAAAGATGGGATGGATGGGCTTGATGGGATAATGCCTAGGGACTGGGAATGGACTAATGTTCACTCTGAGGGAGATTTCTAGTTATCACCCCAGGGCCGTCTCAACAGCAGTGAGATGAAGATACTGAAGGGACCCCATTCAAATCGGGGCAGTGCAGAATAGGGAGGGTTCCGGGAACGTGCTAAATGACAGAACCAGCACCTACAGAGTAGAACAAGCCTCAATCCAGCCTGATAATCTCACTTGACTGCAAAACGCCACCTGTGTAGAAGCAGGATTCAAAGTGTTTGTTCAGTATCTGCCTCACACTAAGTGCGCCGCTGGGTCTGGGGACTCATTAACATGTGGTCTGGGCCTGGGACCAGAGGAAGAGGGAAGTGTATATACTCGTAGTTGGGGAGGGCTTTGGTGACAGAGTTTAATATTAGAGTCTTTCCAGTGAAAAGACCACCAAAGAATGTGGTTGGTGGGCTGCTTGAGGTCTGTCTACAAAGTGCAGACTCTTCCTATCCTGTCATAATGCAGTCTTGTTTTCACTTCTTGAACATTACAGATTAAGAAAGCATATTCAAAAGCGAGTCCACAGGGGTGAGGGACTGTAAAACCAAGTCCCAGAGGAAGAACTGTCCTCACTGAACTGCCCAAAGCTGGAATGAGCTGCCCCTGCCTCACCTTTGAACTTAGAAGCTTGCAGAGTGCTGGGCACATGTTAGCACCTCAAATACATGTTGAATGAGTGAATGAATTCCTTAATGAGTTCCTTATTTCAGGAGGTGTAAGAGCAGAGAATGGAGATTTTAACAAGGCCTCTGGTAGAGGATTAAGCCAGATGGTTTTCTTTTCTTTTTCTTTCTTCTTTCTTTCTTTCTTTCTTTCTTTCTTTCTTTCTTTCTTTCTTTCTTTCTTTCTTTCTTTCTTTCTTTTCTTTCTTTCTTTCTTTGAGACAGAGAGAATGAGAGAGAGCGAGTACATGAGAGGGGGGAGGGTCAGAGGGAGAAGCAGACTCCCCACCCAGCAGGGAGCCCGATGCGGGACTCGATCCCGGGACTCCAGGATCATGACCTGAGCCGAAGGCAGTCGCTTAACCGACTGAGCCACCCAGGCACCCAAGCCAGATGGTTTTCAAGAATTGGCGATCTTACGGTTTTCTGAGATGGGGAAGTAGGGAGAGGGTTGACCAGCCAGGAAATTAGGTGGGTTTGGAATCAGTGTTTGTCTGTGTTCTAGGTAATTTTGATCCTGAACCCCCTCATCCAGTTCAGCTCCCCAAATACCTGCGCTGCTATCGATGCCTCTTGGAGACCAAGGAGTTGGGATGCCTTCTGGGATCAGACATCTGCCTCGCCCCGCCTGGCAGCAGCTGCATGACTCTCCTCATAAAGAACAGTAAGCTGCTTATCTTTGGCTCAGCCCATCCCCAAAATGTGTGTCTCGGCTGTACCCCATGTCGGGTTCCTGCTCCCATCCTGGTCTCTCTTTCCTTACCTTCAGAGCCATTCTCTGTCTCCGCTTCCACGCTTCTGTTCCCTCAGCCTGCAGCTGACTGGCTCCGGCCTTCCTTACAGCACCCAGCCTTGTGGGGGACCCTTGTGATCACCAGCTCCCCCAGCCTGTCCTCAGGCTGCCTTCTCCCTGCCTGTCAGCCACAGTTCCTGCAGACATCTCTGGCTCGTCCACTGCTTCTTCCTGGTCTCCTTCCCCGGGTCTTGCCTTATTCTCCTTGACCCTTAAGCGTTCATGTCCACCAAAGTTTGGGCCTTAGCTGTCTTCTTGCTTTACTCTTCCCAGAGGATTTGCTCTGCTTCCTCCTGAATTTGAATGTTAGGCCAAACTGTCATGTCAAATGGCGCTCTGGAGAGCAACACTTCATTTTTCAATTTGCTGAAAATTTACTACATTTCCCTGTTCCTCATGCCTGCTCTTCCACACAATGCCTCACACTTTTCTTTTTCTTCTCCTCTTTCTTTCTCTCTCTCCCTCCCTTCCTCTTTCTTCTTTTTCTTTCAGCTGGGTGCCCCTCCCTTACCCTTTTTAAAACACAAAACATGTATTGTGTGCTAGCACTATTCTAAGCACTTAAAACCCTCTGAGATAGGTATTGTTATTACTACCCCCCCCCATTTTGCAGATGAGGAAACAGAGGCACAGAAAGGTTAATACCTTGCCCAAGTCTCCTAGAAGCTGAGTCATAGTTTGTGTGCTCTTAAACAACTACAATACTCTTAAAACACTACAGAGATGGTGCTCTTAACCACTACATGAAATTACCTTCGAATTCAAATTCAAGTCTTTTTATTACACTTCTTAAACATAGATATGGTCCAATGTCAGAGTATTCAAGCATATCAAAGAGAAGCCTCTCCCAACTTCTCCTTATAGGGTCCCGGCCGAAGTGCTGGTCCCCCCTCCCCAGCAAGACCAAACTCAGCCCCCTCCAACCATCACTGTATTTTGAGTGGCTCTTTCCCACTAACCTTCCACAGAATTCATAGCTGGTGACTCCCTGGCATTCCCTGCCCCTGCCCAGTTCCAGAAATCTGCCTTTTGGGGGACCAGGGAAGAGTGTGGGGGCAGTGATGCTAAGTCCATATGGAGTGACGGGATGGAGGGGCTTGGGGCTGTGCCTGGGACCTGGGATCTCTGTATCACTGGTTGCTGCCATCCTTCCCCAGACAGTGGTTCTGACATCATGGTGAGTGACTGCCGCCGCAAGGAACAGATGAGTGATTGTTCATATACCCGCTCTTCTCCAGTGTTTGGCTTCTGGATATTTTCTCGATGCTGCTTCCGGGAGTTCTGCAATAACCCCCAGAACAGAGTCTTCTATATTCCTTAGAATTTCTGCAGAGACTTTTAAGAATAAAATCCTGCCAGTCGCCTTTCATCTTCCTGATTTCCAGCTGGCTGGCACAGCCAGAACAACTTCCAGTTCTTTCTACCAGCCCTCCCAGCCTCCCTCAAGTTACTGGACCCCAGCCCTATCTGCCTCTTGTTTGACACCCCTCGACACCCCTTTTCCCACTCTATCCCTCCCCCAGGCTCCCTCTCCAGAAGTCTCTGAGTTTTGCCTTAAAGTCCTCACAGTCTGACAGCTTTTCTCCTCTCTTCTCCCACCTCTTGGCTGCTCCTTAGCCCAGCTTTGCCCCTTCTCCCACCATGGGCCTCTCTCCCCTCAAGTCCCCAGGTCTTATTCCCGAATACATTGGTGTGCAAACTATATGGCTTGTCTGTGTCTTCTAGTGGTGGTGGAGGCCGAGCTCCTGCCTGACTGCGCTGCTGTGGGGGCAGGTAAGGGGCTCCTAGCTCTGCTGAGCTCTGCTCCTGCCCCAACTCCATGTCTTGGATTTAGCTCTAGGCACAAAAAAATGAAGAGGAACCAAAGCGCTCCTGCAGGGAAGGCTGGAAGGGCAAGGGGCATCCTTGGCAGTGGGGTCAAATCCAGGACTGTGTGAGAACTGGAGGGGAGGTCCACAGTGGGGAGAGGTGCTGGTGGAAGCGGAGCTGAGAGGCCCAGGCCCAGGCCCGGGGCCGGGGGGGGGGGGGGTGTGTGTGTGGCGGGAGCGGGGCGGGCAGGACGCTTTATGGAAGAGCCGCTAGGTCTCGTGGAGCCCTGGCCTGACCCCAGGCTCAGCTTCCCTTTTCAAGGATGGTGTGGGAAGTTACTGCAGAATTTTGGGCCTTGCGTTCCTCAGCCTCTGAGACCGTCCTCCACTTTTACTTGCTACAGCTGTATAAACCTAGACTTTTACACTGAAGTCAGAGGTGATGGAGAAAAGTGGGCCCAGAGGGGGGGCACCCTGAAAGTTTGGACCTATTTTTGTACCTCCAACTGCTCCCTGACCTACAAATTAATATCGGTGCTTCCTGCCAGAGCACAGGCCATTAAAGGGGCCATGGAACTCAGTTAACATATGTGCAAAATGTGTAAGTGAAAATATATGCTGTATGATGCCATTTGTTATCAAGCACAGACAGAATTCCTCTAAACAGCTACAACTCAGGACAGTGGCTACTGCTGAGTTGGGAGACATGCCTGGGAGGGCGCACAAAGGCGGCTTTGGGTGCTGATAAAGGCCTTTATGTGGACTTGAGGACTGGTGACACAGGTGTGTGGTTTACAAAAACTCAAGTTATGGTGTATGCAAGCTTCTGTATGTTTTGCTAAAGAGGTTTAAAAATAGGCCAAAGGGGCACCTGGTTGGCTCAGTTGGTACAACGTATTGCTCTTGATCTTGGGGGCATGAGTTCGAGCCCCATGTTGGGGATAGAGATTACTGTTTTTTTTTTTTTTTAAAGATTTTATTTATTTATTCATGAGAGACAGAGAGAGACAGAGGCAGAGGGAGGAGCAGGGAGCCCGATGCGGGACTCGATCCCAGGACCCTAGGATCATGACCTGAGCCGAAGGCAGACGCTTAACCGACTGAGCCACCCAGGCGTCCCGAGATTACTTTAAAAAGTAGTATAGAGGCACTTGGTGGCTCAGTTGGTTAAGTGTCTGCCTTCAGCTCAGCTCATGATCCCAGGGTTCTGGGATCGAGCCCCGCCCCAAGCTCCCTGGCTCAGCTGGGGGTCTGCTTCTCCCTCTCCCCCTCCTCCCTCAAATAAATAAAATCTTTAAAATTAAAAAAAATAGTAGTAATAATAAATACATGCATACACAAACACCACAATCTGTATCTTTGTCCCTAAGGCATGTGTCTATTCTGGAGGCTCTAATTTGCACCTGTGCACACACTCACATGCATTCTTTCAATCCTATGAAGTACTATTCCTCTTTGACAGGTGACCAAGGTAAGGTAGAGAGACCAACTTAGCCAAGTGGCAGAGAAGCCAGGATTGGGTCCCCCAACCACAAAGCTGCACTACTTTTCAGAAAAAGGTTTCACAACCCCAGCACTGGTTTACAAGACTCAGAAGGGCAGGCACCTAGCTGTACTCATTAACACCAAGCCCAAAGCAGTGTGTTTATTGCATGTATGGAAAGTTATGAATATTCATTATTGCTTTCTGTATGCTTGTAGTTTTTCAAAATGAAAGATCTAACCACTGCAGCTCCAACCATGTATCTCTGAACATCCATGCCCCAACCTAGCTCCCTACTGAGGGGTCCTGGGTGCCAGGATCCTAAAAAGAACCAACAGGCAAAAACCCAGATCCCTCAGCACCAGGTAACTCTGAGATACAGACCTGGGCCCTTTGGTTTGCTCCCAAGTTTTCCTGGTTCAAAGAAGAGTTTTCCACCTCTGTTAGATGGAAAACCCTGATGTAACCTGGGTTTTAACTTTCTAGGTTTTGTTTCTAGGGCAAGTTTTTTTTTTTTTTAGTTCAAGATTTTATTTTTAAGTAATCTCTACACCTAACGTAGGACTCAAACTTACAACCCCAAGCTCAAGAGTCGCATGCTCTACTGACTGAACCAGCCAGGCACCCCTGTGGGGTAAGTCAAAAGCTGAGAGAAGTCATAATCCTCATAGCTGAACAGATCTCTAGCCAAGCAGAAGGTGGGATGGATAAAGGCTCTCAGGGTTCAAGCCATGAGGAAGCCACAAAGGCCAAGTGGAATGGGCCAGGCTGTAGATGGTTTGATCCCCATGCCCAATCAACCTTCGTTCACTGGTCTATACTTGCCCACACCTGAGCCTGACCCCATAAACAGTGTGACACAGACTTAGCCCAGTCCATTTATTGTGGAGGTTGTGGAGAGCAAGCAGATGTGGAGCAGAGCAGGCCAGACCCTCGTCTCTCCTCTCCCCTTCCCTGGCATCTACTGAAGCGGGTGTCAGGACTCAGTGATGCGAAGTGAGGCTGAGGAGGCCAGGGACTGCAATGAGAGGAGAGAAGCAGGCGACCAGGGCAGGGGTGGGGGTGGAGGGAGTGAGGCAGAGACAGCACAGTGCTAGTCAGAAAATGTGCACGGAAGTCTCCCCTTCATTCTTCTTGCTGCAAGTTCAGTCTGGGTCTTAAGATGGGCATAGGATGTGATCTACAACCAGATCTGAATGGAGGCAGCAGTGACCAGATTGCCAGAGGATTGGAAAGATGAGGGGGATGACGGACTCCGGTGACAGGAAAGGACACGAAGAAGCCACTATGCCTTCCCCAGGCTGGCCTAGGCAGACTCTAAACTCATTATTTTCTATGAGGTCCAGCACCACCAGTTTCTGGGAAAGAAAAGACACCAAAGCCATAGTCACGCTGGAAGTACAGAGGAAGGGAGGCCAGAGAAATCAGAGAGCAGAGAACATGAGTGTTTTAAGAGGGCAGCGCAGGGCTGTGGTGTTAGGGAAGAGATGCTGGAATGCAGTGAAATCCAGGAAGGCTAAGGCATCAGGGCCCAACCCAGGGAAGAACCAAAAGTCCTGAGCTATTGAGGAACAAATATATGCGACGCAGGTCAGCAATGGACAAGTTCAGGTTCAGGGGCAGGATGGCCGGGGCGTCCAACCCTTTGGGCTCCTTCCCAGCATGGAAGCTGCGGAGGGGCAGTGAGAGATTCAGGGCCTGGTAGAACCAGTGGATCTGGGACTCGGACAGGGGCAAGGCCCAGGCCCCAGCCGGGGGATCAGGTGGGGAGCTGTGGAGCTGGGGGCTGGACCAGGAGTTGCAGTAATCGTACTGGCAGCACTGGGCCTGGTACCAGTACTCCGAGAAGTAGGTATTGCGTTTTTCTTGGCAGCGGTAAGAATTATACTGTCCACAGCCTCGGATGAAGAAACGAATCTTGGTATCTGGAGAAGAGGGAACAGCTAACTAATAATCCCCGCTGCCTCCCATAGTCCCCAACCCTGTTATCCTTACCCCAGACTCTCCCATCCCTCACCCAGACCTGACTTCCATCCCAGACTCCTTCAGAAGGGGCCAGAAAAACTGGCTCAGTGGATCCCCCAGAACCCTCAACTCCTCCTTCCAGGATCCTGCTGTCTTCCTCTTGCACCCCAGGTCCTAAGCAGCCCTCGTCTGAGAGGAAAGGAGACCAAGCCATGGGCTATCCCAGCAGCAGCCCCTTCCTGGGGCTTGACTCACCGTAATAGATGGTGATCACCATACATGGTGATGGGGTGCTGATGGTGCACTTCTCTGAGCCTGAAATGCACCCTGTAGAAGGGTCTTCTAAGAGGCAGAGGTGGCAGGTCCGGACTTCAGGAACAGGGGCTGGGGAAGCAGAAGACAGGAGGGATGGGAGTGTTGGCTCATTCCAAGTTCTCTGCCTTGCCTGTGAACTAGGGCTACAGCCCCACACCCTTCCAGGACTCAGTCACTTCTCGTTCCTTGCCCCTGGGCCCCACTTACCTTTTGCCACTGCGAAGCCCACCATGACCAGCACACCTACAAGCATATGGGCCTTCATGATGGAATTCCGGGGAGAAGGCAGTCCCTGGGGGGTATCCCGAAACCGACCTTCCTGTGACCCAGCTCCTTGATCCTGAGCTGCAGGGTGGTTTTGACAGTTTGAGCAGGAGCTGTAGACGCAGAGCTATATTCCTTGGCTGGGGGAGGAAGTTATTAACTTGGCTGGAGGACAGCGTGTCCTCACCCACAAGGTCGTGTTCCTGTACGTGGGAGCAATGGCCCAGGCAACACCTGGGCCTTTATCCAGTTGCCTGTCTTTGTCCCTTGTGCCCTGAAAAGATCTATTCCCCCACCTCAAGGGTCCATGGATCAGCTTCTGTCTCTGGTACCACATGCTGTCCTCCCCACACAAGAGAACTGTCCCTATTGTGCTGGCAAAAACTTTGGCCAGGGACCCTGGGGCCCCAGCCTTCTGAGATGAACATGTCTTAGCCCCCAGCAGGGGGCGCACAGACACCACCCGGCAGCAATTCTGGACCTTGTCCCTCTCTCCACCCCTTAAAGGTTGTTTATTTCAGGACCACTTGCCCTGTAAAATCAAAACTGGAAGATGCTGTTGTTGATTATACTCCTTATGGTATAAATATACAGCCTTAGGTGGCCAAAAAAGAACAAGTATGTCTCTAGACTTTGAAATCTGATTTTCCCCTGGGTCTTTTCCTTGTGGCTTTGCACATACTAGAAATTCTGCTCTACTGCTAAAAACCTCACCCCAATACACTGGGCACCCATCTGTGCTGGTTTTCAACTTGAGGAGGGTGGGCTGGGCCATGAGGGTCCCTGGAATCAAGCAGAGCAGCACCCTCCCATCCCCCAACCCCAAGCACCAGCAGACCAGCTCATGGCCTTTTCTTCCACTTTATTTCATATTCCCACCACAATAATGACTCCTTTAATTTAAACTAAAAACCATAGAGGGTTCTTGAAAGGGTGGCAGCAAAGGATCGGAGGTGTCGAAGACTGAGGGCCAAGTGGGATGGGGAATCAGCGGATCGTCTTGACTGGGCTCTTGAAGTTGCTGGCGGCTTGGAGCTGCAGCTGGTAGGCCATTGGATGGATCTTGAAACCGTAGAGCCTGCGCGGGGGCAAAGGTCAGAGAGGCAGCAGGGTGAGCCCCACCCTGGCCCTGCCAGTGGCCTGAGTTTCCACCTCCCCACCCCAGCTTCTCCATGAGTCTGCTCAGTGCTTAAGGACAGTGGCTCCCAAACGGCTTCCCTCCAGAATATTGGGAAATATACCTTAAATAGCCATTAAAACTCAAATTCTAGACTACATGTAAACACACACACACGTATGTGATTGTATGTTTGTGTGTGTGTGTGCGGATTAGCACTTGTTTCAATATAATATCAAACTGTTCTTCCTGGTAAACATGATGTTCCAGGAAGATAAACCACACTTTTTCCTGGCTAACGGCTGAACAACCAAGATGATGACAGCTACCATTTAAATGGTACTTCAGGTGTCAAATGTTTTTCAAAGCAACTCACTATTTAAATATACCTTATCGGTCAGGTACTATCATCCCCATTTCATGGATAAGGGAACTGAGGCACAGGGAGGCAAATACCTTCCCCAAGGTTACTTGCTCTGGGAGAAGCAAACCTCAAGAAAGGACCATGCCCTGTCCTCCCTTCTCTCTGGGGAATCCCAAACCTTTCCTTTGACCCTGGGTGACTCTATCCCTGCTCCCCACCTGGGCACAAACTGGTTGGCGGGCCGCTTGGGCCGGTACTCGGGGTGCACCATGAAGAGCATGTGAGGGAAACCGGTGCCGAAGTAGGCGCCGTCCGTGTGATGGTGCCTCGATGACTTGGGTGTGTACACGTCCATGCACTTGGGGCAGTAGAGCTTCACCATGGCCTCACCTGGGATGTCCGAAAGGCCTGGGAGACAGCCAGACTCAGCAGGCCGGGCACCCCCAAGCCTGCCCCACCTCCCTCCCAGACTCAGGCCCAGACTTGCTGAGCCCCAACTCTTTCCCAGGAGGACCGGCCAATTGACGTGGCCTCCTTTCCCTTCTCCAATACTCACCGATGGGAAGCATTGGCTGGTTCTCACAGTACACACGGGGACAGTAGCCAAAGTCTCCCTGCTGGTACTTTTCCAACTGAGGTGAATAAAATGAAAGGGGTTGGTGGGTAGGTATAAGAGAAGAGGCAATCCCTTTGTCAGCCCAACCCATATTGCTCTGTCCTCCACTCCTGCCTTTCTGTCCAGAGACCCCTTCAAGCTGGCCCAAATGGGCCCTCGTACTCCCCTGCTTCCTTTCCTCCAGTTAGGCAGGTTACAGACCATCAGAGCCATTCGCTGTTTGTTCCCTGAGGAAGAGGCAGACTGCAACAACTTCCTGTCCAAGGTCACGTCTCCCTCCCTGTAAACACCTCAGTCAGCACAACCCCAATTAGGATTTAATTCCCAGGCCCCGTATCTGGGGTTCTTCCCCTCTTCTCAGCCACATTCCTTGACGAGGTTGAAAACGTGACTCCTCACTGCAGGAACCTCTGTTTCCCTTACTGCCTCAGAGGAGTCAAGGGGGAGCAGAGAGGCCTCACCATCTGGGCGATGCCACGGTTGGTGAGGATATAGCGGGCGTGGATCAATCCATAAAGCATCTCGGCTGCCTGCTCAATCAGGTCGCTCTGGTTGGGGTTGTCTTCCAGCTCTTCATCTGAAACATGGCCCCAGCCAATTGCAACCATTTGTCTTACAGCTTTCTTAGATGTCCCACCCACCTCCAGGGGCTACTGGCTACACAGTTTGCCTGGCACCCATCTTTGAACCACCCATCACCCGGGCATTTGACCCAGAAACCTGGGCCTCTGGCCCTTCCACCAACCCAAGACAGCTCTGCCTTCTCTCTACACCTCTTTAGCCTTTACTTTCTTCTCTCCCTCTCAACTCTCTCAACAAATAAATGAAAGATATCAATACAGAAGATGAAATTCTAGACTAAAAGGTGCAAGGCAAAACAAAGAAACAGGAAATGAGACTCATGGGGAAACTAGCATTAGGGGATAGAACCAAATTACAGGATCAGAGTGCAGGTACAGGTGGTGTAAGTCACAAACCCAGGCAAAAGTCAGATGGGGGACCAAAATGAAGGACAGGACTTTGGATAAAAAGAGTCAGAGAACCAAAAGAAAATTTAGAAATTCAAGAAGCAGATAAACAAGAATATGAAAAGAAAAAACAAAACAAAACAAAAAACCCATTCACACACAGAACAACCCTGAGGGTGCCTCACCAGGCTCCAGGTCCAAGATCATGTCTAGAGCTTGTCGATAGTGAGGAACCTGCTCATTGAGTCCAGTGAGATTGAATTTGTCCTGGATGTAGTCTTCATCTACCTGTCAAGATGTGGAAGTCAAGAAGAAACCCACAGCAGAATCCTCAGCTTTGACCTAGGCACACTGCTCTAATTGATGCCTTATTCTCAACACAACTGCTTCTGTTTCCCCTCATTCCCCAATTCCAACTCAGCAGAACTACTTGAGTCTCTCTCTCCAGTTCACATATACTGCCTTCCCATAAAAGCTTTGGCTTTTCTTTTAAACAGCTACAACAATCTCCTCCTTAAAGAAACATTCCTTTCGGGCGCCTGGATGGCTCAGTTGGTTAAGCGACTGCTTTCGGCTCAGGTCATGATCCTGGAGTCCCTGGATCGAGTCCCGCATCGGGCTCCCTGCTCAGCAGGGAGCCTGCTTCTCCCTCTGACCCTCCCCCCTCTCATGTGCTCTCTCTCTCTCAAATAAACAAATAAAATCTTAAAAAAAAAAAAAAAAGAAACATTCCTTTCAAAAATCCCTGTTCCTACTCCTGCCCCCCATCTCTACAAATCAGTTTTGTCTTCTCCTTAGGGGCAGCTGGATCTCTAAGGAAAGTGGAGACTGTGGGTGCCTGTGTGGCTCAGTCGTTAACTGGCTGCCTTCGGTCATGAACCCAGGGTTCTGGGATTGAGCCCCGCATCGGGCTCCCTGCTCAGCTGGAAGCCTGCTTCTCCTTCTCCCACTCCCCCCTGCTTGTGTTCCCTCTCTCTGTCAAATAAATAAATAAAATCTTAAAAAAAAAAAAAAAAGTGGAGACTGAACAGCTTGGGTCCTGTGGGCAGTTACAATCCTTTATATTACCAGCACACAACTTTGCCCATTACAAGACATTTTCACAAACAGCATTTTAATTCTAACAGGCTCCCAAAGTATGGACTACCAGTACTAGTGTAATAATAATAATAATAATAATAATAATAATAATAGTAATAATAATAATAATAAAGTTGACTTGTCCAATGCTATATAATAATAATATTAAAGTTGACTTGTCCAATGTTATATTGCTGGAGAATAACACGCTTGGGACTTGGGCAGTCTTGCCACTTCACAAGTTAATGAGGGGGGTTACTGAAGGGACTCTTCCTTGACAGGAAAAAGTTTCTATGGCAGCCTGTAAGAGAAGTGTGTGGAAGCTAAATATGTGGGAAAATATATAGCCAAACTTTGTGAGGAGATGGCTGGGAGATTGAGAAGAACTCACTTCACAGAAGAATTCATTGCCACGGAGCCCACAGAACCAGGAAATCCAGGACACCTCCTCTGAGCTGCTCATCTTCACGTCAGCTGGAGAAAAACAGAGTGTAAGTAAAGCCCAATCTCTCCCACCCAGCCTCTGGTATCCTCCCTCCTCCCACACTTTGCTCTCCAACCATGAAAGAGTTTGGGGCCACCTTTCCTTAAAACATCCTAGACTCTGGAGCGCCCCTCTCCAGTTCCTGTTATTCACACCTTGGCCCCTTTTCTGAGATTAGAGATTCTCTGGAGTCCCATACTTTCGAGAAACCGACAGGTCTTGACCCACCAGTCTTACCCACACCCCTAACGCTCCCGAAGACCTGCCCCCTTCCTCTTCATGTCAACTCCGGCAGGGCCCTCGGCTCGAGATCCCTACCCCGCAGGTCTCTGCATGTTCCCGGCGCCTTTCCCAAAGGTTCCGAAGTTTATCCTTTCCAAGCAAAAGCTGGGCCCCTTTTTCTCTCACGGCCTGCGGGTGGCCGTGAGGGCCCTTTCACAGGAGTCCCCACATCCCGCCTCCGCCCCTCAGACCATCCCTCCCTCCCCCAGTGCCGGACCGGGTCACTTCCTTCCCACCCCCACATCAACGCGCGGAGACCCCATGTGCCGCGCCTAAGGACAGGGGACTCGGCGCGGCGACGACCTCAGACTCACCGGCTGGACGGGGACCGGGAACAGGGTGGGGGAGGGGAGTTGCTGCTTCCAAAGAACCGCGACGGCTACAGCGCAGGCCGCGGACCCGACCGCGGCAGGCGAAGTCGGGTGGGGGGGGGGGAGTGGAAATTGGGGAGGGTGGGGAGAGGGCAACGCGCAAACGCCAAGGGTCGAGCGCCGCAGTGAACGCCGGGAAATGGAGTCCCCGGTAAAGAGAAACTGGCGAAGCGAGGGAAAGGCGAACTACGAATCCCAGGACGCCTCACGAACGACCCTGGCGTCGCGAGGCCCATGAGCACGGCGCTCGGGGGGGGGGGGGGGGGGCGGGGCGCAGCGGGGTGCCACCGGAAGCGGAAGCGCAGTACCCCCCTCTGGGCCAGGGAGTATGGGAAAGAGAGTCGTGGGATTCCGCGACTGAGGGGCCGAGAGGGGCGGGGAAAGGAACGAGGCTGGCCGCTGATTTCTTATAG